CTGTGTAGAAATATCTTACATGCACCTTTATCTAGAATGTATGTTGCCATATAGAAATGCTTACCAAAAAAAAAGGAATGTGATATCTGTTTGCCTTGTATGGCAATGAAGTGAAAATCTATATCGAGCAAATTCCGGTTGTTAAAAAAAGCATTTTGGAAATATTAGTTAGAAAAGTAAAGTAGCTAATAGGGTAATACGTTTTTTACAAAATGTCCTTCAAAAGATTTGCCTTGCAAAAAAAATATCAAAATATCGAAAATACGCTTTATGCGAAGTATCACTTTATCTACAAATTTCTATAACACTAACTTATAGGTGTAAAACTTCTAAATAAATATGCCACATATCTTCCCAATAGATATATCGAGATAAAGTAGTACGAAAAAGCGAATATGATAACTGGTTTATTTACGTAACACTGGGATTCATCCCATTGTTACGTTTTTTTTTACATGAAGGTAAATATATATTTAGAGAATATTTTTTTGCCACCGGTTCAAAGTTCACGATAAGCAATACAAATAATAATGACTGGTGAAATGAGGTAATAGTATGTGGTCATTGCATCCGAATGTCTGTAAAGGTGTCAGTAAACGTTCAGTGGTATATGAAGTAAGGCTGTGGAGTCTGCGATCAAGCGCTAGTTCATGTTCAGATTTCTTCATATTAGAGCAGGCTAATGAAATAACCCTAAAATGGTAATGGATTAAATGCGCAGAAGAACGGAAGCTATAGTTTACATTAAGCTGGGTACAAATCAAATTCATTAAATCAATTCACCCGACAGGCGTGAAACAAAGCCCATGGGTCTGTTTCGATATATCTATACCGACCCGAATTGACCCCGTCGGTTCAAATTGATTTTCAAAAAAGCTTTATCTTGAGAAGGCCTCCGTTTAAAATGGAGCCAATAAGATGAATACTTTCCTTCTAGGGTAAGTTTACTCCTAGAGCATAATGTTAATCTGGGCGAAGCAATCATGTTTTGATCGACAACCGTTAAGAACTTATCCTCTAAGCGTCATAAAATGGCTAGGAAATTGGACTAAAGGGTAGTTTTGGACTCTTCATATTTGTATCATTTAACGGCAAAATAATGATCTGCACCGAAATAGTGAGATTTAAACTATCTCTATTTATATTTTCAGAGGTGCGAATACCCTGTTTCGGGGGAAGGAGAAAGAGAAAAGGCAATTGCTTTTTCCTCTGGGGGGGGGGGGGGGTAAAGCTGACGATGCAAAATGATGCGAACCATCTTAGCACATATGGTTAATCTTCTTCATTTCATCTTTTCGAGATAGAATGAAAGGATCAGCAGGATCGTAAGATTACGATAACGTTCCAATGGGACATAAGCCGTAGCTGGGTATGGGGTCTGACTTAGATAGAATCTCAGACTGTCGCCACGTGCTTGATTGAAGCCTAACTTCACGTGCACAAGAGAAGAGGAAGTTACGTAGTCTTCAAACCGACTTCAGCTGTACGTTCTTCAAAGCAACAGGATACATGCAGTGCATTAACGAATCAGTTGCAGCATAGTGGTGGGATTACCGGAACTCCTTCCAGCAAAATCAACGTCTGCCGGAACAGGCTAACAGAACATGATTCCTGGAGCTGGATAATCGCCATGAGATAACAATACCAATGCAACGTTGTCTCAGGTAAATTACAACCGGGCGCCTGCGTAATCAGGCAACATGTTTGGTTGGATGTAACATGAATCTCAGATCCATAAACTAAAAGATTCTGATAAATCAATCATACTGTGGCAGCAGTACTGTTGGAATTCTTCAATGCGAACACGGGATCAGGGAGCACGGGATAATCTCAACACGACAATAGATCTCCTGTGTAAGGGAAATAAAATTTCTGTAACGGGATAACGGAACTACCACTGTGATAAATCAGAAAAATTGTAACCCAATGCTATGATTCTGAAATCAAGCTAGATTTCAGTTCAGTCGAAATTCGCTCACATTAAAGGAGGTTGGTGAAGTAACTGCAAAATCTCAACGAGTTTGGTAGAGCAAGGTTATTGTGATGGGACAATCGTTTGTATATACTATCATTTAGTTAAACTGGTGGTCATAGCAATGACACATTAGTCAAATACATGAAAAAACAGGCACGGGGAGAAGTCCATGGGATCGTATCGTGATCCCTAAAATTAGCTTGTTCTCTCCTCTTTGGTTCGAGGCAGCCCTTGGCCTCCCTGTTAAAAATGCCCTTAGATCTGTTTCTGATATTCGTTATTAAAATGAATCTTTAGATGGAATCGATAGTCGACAATAAATGGACCGTAAATACACAAGCGAGGCTCTCCCTCGCAGAGGCAAGCCGCCGGTACTCACTATTACAGTATGAATAACATTGCTACGGCATGCCCCGTACACTGGCATTGAATGTAGTGAAGCTGATGAGAATCGTCTAACGATTAGAAAACTAGCATTGATCTTTATTATCATAAAGCACAGAGACACCCAGTTGAAGGGCGCTTTCGACCCAAGTAGGGTTAAGAAAAGAGCTTTGAATTGATAGCAATACTGGGACTATAAAGTAAAATTTAGAAGGAACAGCTATACATCAGTACACAGCTGTGGACAGACAATTTTCTCAGCTTTTCGTATATCGATTTTACAGCAACAGGGTGCACAGTACGGTTTGATCTGCCGATATCCTTCAAAGTGACTCAATCATACAGGAGTTCGGTGCACGGCCGAAGCTAAAGTGACCGAAATGACAAAATAATCAACGACTTATTGCGAAGATGAAGTTATGAATTAGTTTAAAAGGCTACTCCAGAAATCTCTAAACACTGCTGACACAAGCGCGTTACGGTCTTGCAAGCTGGAGAAGACACACAAAGTCTGCCTTTCGGCCAGCTGCGAATACGAAGCAGATCGACAAGAAAGAATTCGATTGACCGAACGGAGCAAAGACCGGTCTGCCTGAACCTACAATACGTAACGCACAGGTTTCAAGTAATAGTCGAACGGCACATTCACGTCATTGTTTGCCTGTTAAAGAAACAAATAGTGTTACCGCGTACTTTCAAATCTCTACAAATTTTGGGCTCTTGTAGTTCGATTGAAGTTAATTACAGGCAGTGAGCTATGTAGTTAATCATCTTCTGAAATTGTGCAGGATTTTTGTACATGTTTACTCCAACAATGTTTGCGAAATGTTGCGGGACGATCGTAGGGCAAGGTTAACACCCTGCGGCACTCCCGGTGAGCACGTACCGATTTTATGCGATTAGGTTCAATTCGTACCCTGAGTGGGAAAACAAATTTTCGACAAGGACACGATCCAAGGCCCAGTTTCTAATGGCTGTATCAATGACTTAATGATTGTTAGAGCTTCTCAGACAGTTCGTGTGTGATAGTTTCAATTGAATGTCAAGTTAACTATCGTGAGAACGGAACTCGTCAACTACATTTACAGAGCAAAACATCAACAAGTGGGCCCGTCCCACGTATCCCTTCGAACTTCTTATGTAATATCTAGCTAAAGGCACATCTTCATGTGATTGTCTTCAAGTGTTCTAACTATGATGCATATAGTTCTTTTGTGTTTTTCTTTTTTTTCGCGAAATTCGAGTCACTCTCGGCTTATTCGAAGCAGCTAGGTAGCAGTCAGTAAATATTTGGCAAATTTATAGATTTGACGATTCGTCTTCCGCGTGAGAAAGGTTGATACTTTCCACAAGGGTTTTGTTTATAGTCGAGCATGGCCGTCAGAGCGGCTGTGCTCGTTTCGACGAAGCCCTCGATGTTCTCGCGCGGGCAACAACGGTAAGCGATATGATAGAAAATAATACGATTCTGTGTGAAGGCAGTTACGAGGTAAAAAGTCGAATATGGCAGCATAATTCACCTCTGCATATAAAGCTCCAGAAATTAAGTATTCGTCGAGAACATTTTATTTTGAAGGTGCTTCTAGAATTCGAAAACGCGGACGAAAAGCTTATATTTCATCTCCTTCTTACGAAACCAACTGTATGAAGCAGACGACAGAGCTCTACACATTTTATAGGTCAATTAATACTGAATTTCACAAAGGACAGCATGTACAGCGCATTGGGTAAAATGTTTCATATCCTTTTAGACACCTTATCTATACATTTATTTTATCCTCTATATTTAAATGGCCTTGCTTCCTCATCCTATGAAATTTTGTGCGTTTATGGTTACGCGGTCGGTTCAAAAAGGCCAACTGTTTATCTTCATAAACGCGTTCCCAAATGGAGCGAAAGGATTAAATAAAAGGCAAATAGAAATATAAGAATAATCATTAAGTCTGATGTAAGGCAATCAGTTTAATGTGATGTTTGAGTGTACAAATAGTACGACGCCAGAAAAAGTGAGCTCATTCTTATTATGAAGCCAAAAAGGAGCACAGACTATACCGTAATGAGTGATATCTTTGAGGTTAATTACTACCCGTTTACTACGTATGAGCTCTTCTTTTAACTAGAATTATTGGTTCTTCGTCCCAAAGGTGGATACATTAAGAGGCGCAGCGTTTCACAGTCACCGATTATAATGTAAACTCATGACCTTGATTCGATTTATAGTCGTTTTTTACTTAAAACAAAAGAATCTGCTCTTGCAGCTAGACTAGTGATACATATTTTATAAAGATGCTCACACACGTATGCATGAACATTACGTGAATACAGATAAAAATCAATATTCCTCTGTACGAACGAAGCTTAACATAGAAGAAACATTTCGTCGTTACCTTCATCGAGCAGGAGTGACCCCCTTCCGAGCTCAGGCTGCTCGATGGTTAGCTAACCAGGAAGGCCGAGGCTTCGCGAAGTATTGTGGGAGGTCACATTAGGGAGAGGGAAGGAAGGGGCTGGCGTATGCGCGCGCCTTTAGGTGACACAGGGGCCACCGAAGGCGATAGTTGGACGAAAGCGCACAGGAGGGGGGATTTGAGGGAGTTGTTGTAGCAGTGCTGGCGGTGTTCGCGGGTTCTGCTACTGCGACGATGGCGATCATGTTGGCTGTTTATCTGGTTAGTAGGGTTGTCGGCGGGCAGTGACGGGAGTAGTGATGATAGCACAAGATGGTGGGTCGTACTGGAAGCAGACCAGCAGTTGATGGCAACCATCTGGATAGGAGAGGGCATGGAAGAACAAGTGTTCGCTTTCATGGAAAAAAATTGCAGTTACAAAGTCGTGATGTTCCTCCATATCAAAGGCGGGACTAGATAGCATTCAGCATCAGGAAGAACATTATTTAGCAGTTGTGTAAGCTCGTCCGACTGAGCGGAAAGAAACTGAGAGAAAGCGCTGGGTTTTCGACTGATGAATAGTGCTTGCAGATTTGTGTGCTACTGCTGCTGCGAGTTCGAACAGGAGAAACAAGAGTCTGAGTTTTCCAGCCAGTGTGGCTACGAAAGCCGCCTGGCGCAATTGATGGCGTTTAACTCGCTATCGGTAGTATTTGCGGAAATAAAGAATCGCGCTGATCGTGTCGACAATCGTAGGGTTCGGTAGCCGTTAGCTAAAATGGTGATGTTATGAACTGTTTACTGGCAGCAGGCCACTCCAATGGAGTTTTTCAAACGGCAGTGAAGCGGGCGTGAACAGGTGCCTAAAAGCTGCTTCGCGTTGTACCGTCAGGCGTGGACACGAGCACGCGCACAGGTTGTAGTGCAGAAGCGGTGGTCGCAGTACGTACTCCAGAGAACGACGCCCAGTGGAGCGCTCGAAGGCATGCTTTTTCCGAATCGGTTCCTGATCTTACCACCACCATCATTGCAGTTTATCGCCTTGCCCGATCTGGCTGTGAACCGAATCCTTCTAATACAGTTATTGCTTTCCTATGTGCTCCACAGTAAGTACAATTTTATTCCTTAACTGGCTGTATGGACATATTTTTGAGTGCTGCCGGCACAGCAAAACAGAATGCTGGTCTAATAAGTGAGACTTGAGATGAACCGTCGATAGGAGTTTAGGGGTCTAAGAGTGGCTTGGATACGAGCCAAGCACTATTCCAAACAAAGTGATGCCAGTCAGCTGGGCTGAGATAATATTAACTGTTCGTTATAACAAGGTCGTGCCCGGTCCTTTAACTTATTTCACTAACTCTACACACTTTAGCAAAAGCAATACAAATGATCTGTTGCAAGCACATTTGTTCCAAGAAGGTAAGGAACCTAGTTTCGACCCAGCTCAATACCGTGTTAACTTTCAGATGTGCTCATCTGATTACGCACTGACGACGACAATAATGTCTATCCTTTCTCTGCAAATGAGGATTCGCAATTCTGAATAGTCAAACAAAAGCTAGGTATTAGAAAGATTAATATTTCGATTACTCTAGGAGAAAAACAAATCTTTAATACTTTGGTAAAAAAAAAAAAAAAAACTTATTTAAAACTTATTTAAACTGATTTAATTACTACGATAGCCAATCCTCTTTACCGGGCCTGTTGGTAAAACTGTATGTTCAAAAATGTTTCAATTTTTGTTTCAATTTACACCTTAAACAGGTCACATTGGTTGGCATATCTATGTAGGTTTTGGCTTTCGATAATACACTGTTTTTGTTAGTCGTTACTGCCTGCGACAAGTGCTTCGGTAGTCAGGAATTGATTTTTGTAGGAGTTTTCTTTTCGCTGACAGCATTTAGTCTAAGTCATATCAGCCAAAGGGTAAGCTAGTAGCACCAATGCCTCTGTATACGCTATTTCTGGAACCCAATGGTCCTTCGCTTTTGCGGATTCTATAACAACCTATTATCAGCTAAGGCATACTCTCCGTTTCCTAATACCATATGATTTATGGTTAAACACAATTAAATGAGTTTTTTTTTGTACTCTGCGTGGAACAATCTGCACAGCTCAAAATAGCACGCGGTTTAATGGAATGTTAAGCTTTTCAAGTATAACGTTAATTGCGGAAACCAAAAGGAAAAATCTATATTTTATGTACGTAATTAAATTAAGGGACCGAAAACCTTTCCAAAACGATGAGCGACACATTATGGCGATTTGTAACTCTTTCTTCTTTTACGACGAATTATGTTGTAATATAGAAACAGTACAACGTTACGACTGTTATTAAGATTAGCCTCCGGAGGCTTTTATCAGTTCCCATTGTTCTCTGATCTTTTAATTTAAGAAGAAGGTACACTGCACATTGCAGTGGTAAAATGAGATAGTACAGTGGTCGTTTTTTGGGTTTACTACTGGATCTAAGAGGTGTAGAAAATTGACTTTGGATAAGCCTCTATTATTCAAATCCCACTTGTCCTGTTAGAAGCAATTCTCACAGGATTCAATTTATGTGTGCCTTCCTTTGCTAGTCGTTGAGACAGTTCTAGACCTCAGTTTTGAAATAATGTAGCCCAGCTCTACTTTCGGTTTTTGTCCTAGATTTTTTCGATCGCTTCAAGCTTTTTCCATTTCAGGTAGAAGAAGCATATTAGTTTATGCCAGAACAGGAAATAAGACAACAGCAGAGAAGGCTAGAGCTCGTGAATACCAAAACTAAGGTAATACAGGCCTCAAGGTACTTAACAAAAAGTTTGTCTGCAATATTGGTAGCGACGTATGAGAGAATTTGTATTCTCGTGGCAAAAAGCCTACAACTTACTATCCCAGAGCGTGGGATCTGTTCTAGCGGATAGTAGCCCGCCATGTTTTCAAAAGCTCTTTCCAGTAGCCTATTGGCAGCAGGGACACTCGACACAAACGCTTGTCGCACAGCTAGTTAGAAGAAGCTGTCCGAAGTATGATATTATACCGTGGTTTGTGATCTGGGGAGCACAGAAATGACCGTGCTTTAGTCCCTATGTCATACCCATAAAGTTGCCAGGCGTTATCATTTGTGATCCTTCACGTTAAGGTTCTTCTGCAAGAGTTAACTGCGAATATGTATTTGTTCAAAGTTCAGGCTTTTTCACGTAGTATATCTGCTGTGAATCTTGTCGTCTCCACGCGATCTTTAAAATTTGATTCGGCGGTCTTTGAGCATAACGTAATATTTGCGCATAATCAATTTCGTTTTCTACGTTTTTGTTCGTAGTTGCTGTGACAAGTCGCCCCGAAGCCGTTAAGGCTACTTTTATAATAGACAGACCTTTGTTTATTGGGTATGCTCTCGTAGCCTCTGGAAGCCTTCCGCAACATTGACACCACTTGTGGCCGCTCCATTTTTAACCCACAGAACGCGACGATCGGTCACCGGTACGTTATATTGTTGCTATTCAGCAATACGATTAAAGTCACTTACATCAATAAATAGACGAATAAGCGGTCGCATAATACAAAGCACACGTTCGAGTACTTTGAAATTTGGCCTGTAGATAGTAGGCGGGGAGCGTGTGCGGTGCCACGAGCTGTTCAAGTAAATGTTTCAGGAACTACATACCAAAAGAGCACGGCAAAAAGGCTTTTTTAAAAATAGTTTTTCAGTTTCGGACATTTTATTCAGCCCAGCATATCGTTGCTACATGGAATACACATATTACTAATTTTATATAAAAAAAAAATCTCATGTCAAAAACGATAGTCAGGTATCGATCGGTAAAGCTCTCCTAATTTTGCAGTTTTGACTATATTGGACGTAATGATTTCATTTAAATGTAAAGTTAGATATATGTTGATAGATCTTTGTTGACTTTTAAGTTTTTCTGGCTAAAATACCGATAACTGTCCTATTGAGAGGTGTGCTTCTCAGGCACGTTGTTGTTAATCAATATCCTTTCTATGTATTTCTATATTTTATATAGACATACATTCTAAGAATTTTTAAAGAATTCTGGACGATGTCATAAATGGACTAGTATGATGGACACCAGATTTATAGATTGAAAAGATGATTCTGTTGTATCATATTGTAATATCCCAGCTTAAAAATAAAGAGGCACTTGTATGTAGTTATATATGAAATGATCAAAGCTTATTTTGTGGCCTTGAAGATGTGCCTGTTGTATGCCATAAATAAAAGTTTATCACCCGCTGAGAAGGCGCCATTTTCGTCGGTTTTAGTACGAGCCTCACATTGAATTCGGTCCCATTGAATTAACCTTGAACTGAGCTTCGTTATACACCAAAGTTAAATTCAATTTTGTATAAAACGTCATTTGTATCTTCTTGAAAACGAAGGCGATTGTAGTGCACTTTGGTTCTTTCGCTGCTTTTAGACGCTTCTATTTTATCCCCGAATAAAAGCGGCTGCAGGCCATCTCTGCTCTTTAGACACTTCGGCGTATCCTCATAGACCTTGATTGATCACATAATCTCGTTTTAGAAGACATCACTACCACAGCGTGGCAGTCTTGACTTCGCGTCGTTGCCCCGTGCTCGACGCGGAATTGATCCGACTGAACAGGCGATTGTCGTAGGCAGAATCACGACCTTCCGGCAGTCGTTTGCCGACTTTCCGTACAATGGAGTCCCAGCTTAAAATAGCTAATTGGCATGTGTGAATGCTACCTCAGTCCACTAAATCGATAGTAAGCTTCGCGCTATTGCATTATAATCTAATAATTGAAAAATTTTGGGGGTTTGAAACGGGGGCGGACATTGAGACAGTGTGCATACTCTTGAAGTTTTATCCGGAGCTTGAGCTCAATCCGATGTCATCGTTTCCCAATCGATGAACCCGATTGACTAGATCTCCATTTGAAAAGCAAAAATTTATAAATTGCTCTCGGTGTGCGGTGATTTTTAGGCGTTTTATTTTGAAAACGTAAAAACAACTCGTGTCCTAAAACTATCGCTACCGATCCCTGCGTATCGCAATATTATTCAAAATTCTCCAAACGAATTATAAATCTTTATCAGCGGTTTACTTAAAGAAGTATCAAAGTACCTTATCGCTTTTCATTCGAATGCTCAATCTGAAGGTAAATATCAGATTCATTCAGAAGTAATATTGGTCTTTGTCTGACAAAAGGCACAAAATGTCACTCGATAACAGCGACAAACTAATACGTTAGAGACAGATTTGGGGGTGAAGAAAGTCAGGTACCTAAAAACTTGTCCAGTTAGCGTTTCAGAGATCATCTCTATTTGCGGTTACAAGTGGTATTTGCCAGCTGTCGAGGAAGCTCGCTTCATCTTAACCGCACGTGGGTGTACAAATGTCTCTTTAGTCAAATCGAAACTACCGGTACAAGTTAATCATTTTACTTGCTTTGACCTAAGGTTTTTCGCAGGTTGTAATTTATTTGCCGCAAAGGCTCACGAGACTGTGGACGAGGCTGCTTCTTCCATCAGCCTGGGGGTTGCTCACCCCCTGGACAACAATCCTGAAGCTTCCGTGAGCATGTTTATTGCATACCTTTGCGGTCTGAGGATCGTGGCTCTGTTGCTTGATCTAAGCGCTTTTCTTCGAGGTCCCAAGTAAAAGTGGTGAACTTTTCGGCTCTATTCCGTATGTTCTTGAACTACTGACAGCTGGTACGGGTACAACCCAAAGCGTTCGGACACTAGTGTACATATTGATTGGGTTCAGATATTCTCAGATAGACAAGGACTGTTACTTCAAGTCCCCTCAACTGCACGTAAATACTGCACTTATTTTTGTACAAATAAAGAATGAAGAAAGACTTCGAATCGCTTCATCCCACCACGCGAAACAAAGCCGGCTTCAGCCACATTTGATGCTAGGCAATTGTTTTATGGCATCCCATGGCCGTATGTCCTATGGCATCTAACATTCCAGGGATTAAGCAAGCTCTGTTTATAGAATTGACACGCAAGGATCAATTTCTAAGTCTAATTCATATGTCATATTGCTCAGTCTGCGATGCTGTTAAAATGTGTTCGTAGATGTGCTAAAATGTAGCCATTCTACAAAACTCAATTCCATCACGCACATAGCTATACACATGTCAGCGAAGGCGAAGGCGAAGGCTGTCAGTGTGCTGTTATATTTTCTTTGTCAAATCACGGGGATTCTTACTTGGATTTAAGGTTTCGGCCGTCACACCTCTGCGCACTGTCCGACACATTAGAATCATCTCGCAGGGATTTTTGTTTGTAAATTATGTGTCTGCACGCTGTAAAAATCTATTAACTTCAGCGTAAACGCACGATTATAGCAGCTAACCGTTAGTTTTGTTAAAGAGTTCTTTCATTATGCTATAGGTCTGTTTAGCAGCAAGAAAATTAGTAATTTCGTATATGAAATCTTACTTTGGTAGGAGTGAACATACAAAACACACTGTAAGGTATAATGTACAAAAAACGAATCTTTTTGTATAGTGTACCAAATGGTGCGGGTGGTATAGCTCTCGCTCATATTGAGTGAGCACGACCGAACGTGTATCACAATACCTTTGAGGGCCAATTGATTAAAACGTTAGAAAGTTGACAAGAACAGAAAGAATAGTCGTTGGTAGCAGTCGTTAAACAAACCTTAGGAATTATGCAAACATAACTTCTTGGTTTGTGGATGTGCCGCAGACTACCTACGAGAAAATTTGTATACATAAAAAATGCGTCTGCATTGGATGCATAGAGCCAGAATTTTACAAACTGCCCGTGTGCTCCGAGGATGAACTCATGCTTTCATTTTCCTGGCCGTTTTTCGCAGCCGCAATTAAACCGAATCAAACTTCTTCATATGGCGTTCCCTGTTGCCTGTGATTCTTGTTGGGTACCCGGCAGGCTAGACAGGATCTAATACAAGTTGTTAGGCGATACGATGAATGTTCCATATCGATGCAGTGGCTCGAAAAACAAAGATGGCATGTGCTACATAAAGATGCGGATAGTAACTTCATAAATGAAAGCTAAACCGGAGTAGAAGCAAAATAAGGTAGATAGTTAAATACTTAATGTGAACGTTTGAAAATAGTATTAAGTCATAATAATTAAGTTAAAGTTAATAATTAAGTCATAGGAACAAAGCTAACAATCGTGGCAATTCGTACTTCGGTTTGATAGAAGAGCACTGACTTCTCCTCGATTAAGAAATATAAAAGTGTTTCATAATTATAAGTATCTGAACTTGTAAGTAAGGACCTTGTTGGCGTTGAAAATACGCAACCTTACAATTCATTGAGTTGATAATCGTTGGAGAAATAAACGTAACTTAGATTTCGGTGGGCAGGTTTTTCGATACCTGGAAGGAAACAGCTTATGGGGCGTAAATAGTAGGTGACGGCTAAGGAAAAACCACCTGTTCTACTGGCGTGCAAAACGGAAATTAGATAGATATGACACAGCTCCTTTTGATGGACGCTAATCAAATCCTCTAGATAACAGAATTATGATCAGTAATCTAGGTTACGATGAAAACAAGCTGAAACTGTTTCCATTCCGCTTTCAATGCGGGGTTCACTTAGGCGAGTCAGTGAAATGAGCATCTCCCCTGCACTGCTAATACTTATGCGCCCCCCTGAGGAGCCCCCTTTATGATTAACGATTTAAAGTTTGTTCACTCGAGGTCGACAGTGATGCAATCGTGGCTCTAATTCAATCCGCTTCTCAGCCCGTCGAACTTCTGAAGAGACCCTTTGGCCATACACCTGGTAGCTCGTACGAATGGAATAATGTGCAGATCTGTATTGACCAAAGATGCAGCATTTTTTTCATGGGTACGCTTACCACTTAGCAAGGAATGACATTTTATATCAGGCCTAAATGCGGTGCAAAACCTAACTAACCGAATAAACTATCTATTGTTTAGCTCGAACTTATTTTCCATCACTGTTACAGTAAAAGATCGTATTTGCATGTATGCCACTGTCTAATACGAACGTTATTGCCGCATAAATATTGTTCAACATGATCAAAACTAGCCTAAAAATGTTGAGGTTTTTTTTTTTCTATATTTATATGTCTTTTGTTGTTTATAATTGATCTGTTATTAAATTCAGGCTCGAGCCGTAGTTAATGGACGAAGGAATCTCAGGACTATTCTTTGCCGAAAGTGGTGCTGGAAATAACTGATAGAATAGCGTTTAGCTATCCCTATCGAGAGCTCTTCTTATACTGAGCTTTGTGAATCTAAATTGTACGAGATGCGTTTTCTCTGGCTATTTACAGGGGCAGATTGTAGCAAGGTGCATCTGCTGGCCGCGTGCCCACAATCCCCATTGTTCGGAGCCGACCTCGGTTCGCGGTTCACGTTTCACTGCGACCTTTCTTTGCCAACGAAGACGTTCGGCGAGACGACAATGACAGGAGGCTCCCATTCACTACAGAGCGTCAGATCAGCGCATAGCCCTCAGGGAATTCTCTGGAAAAAGGTGTTTCGTCATATAAAAAATCACTAAAAATGTTTATGTTGCCTATGCTAAAAGAGTTAGCCATGGAATCGTCAAGCTGTTACTTGCTTCGTTCATATTAGAACTATAGACACCCCGTTCGTGTTAAGTAGAAGAAAATACGTAAGAGAAAACGACAGCATCTTAAAAATCATTAGACACGTACTTTAGATATTAATTTTTATAGATATATAGCTAGCTGACTCCTTGATGGAGACATCGCCTACTGCTATTTGTTTGACTAGGATCAGATATGGAAACTCTAGCTTCACATGCTCTAAAATAATTGGCCCACAATCCACAAAATCAATATTCTTCTATTTTCCAAATTGTAATTGACACGTGTCTTCATCTAGATCTTCGTGTCGTCATGGGTTTTTCAGCAAACGTTGGGTGTACTTAAAACGTACGCCCTCCGATTTATTTATAGTCCTATTTTTCACCTTGGCAAGGTAATATACGTTTTTATTAACTTCGTTATATGTTTCTGTTAGCTATCATTCTTAGCTATCATTCTCTCAGCTTAAATTCTTATAGTCGTCGCATATACACGAATAGCATTCGGATGAAACCGTTAATTTTCACGGGGCTTATTCGTTTTATCATAGTTTCAAACTATGCAGACTATTCGATCCTGATCTGGGGAACCTGAGTCCGTCTTTAATTTCAAACCTAATAACTTTTATGCCTACGTCATGTAAATTCAAAATGAAGTTGAAGCCCTCATATACATAAATATGAATGATAAAATTCGACCAACAATTTAGTTACATTGTAGAAACGACCTGGTCGTCCCACAGAGAAACATAACAAACGCCAGGTGCATATAGACCAATCAAAGGACGATGAATATTTTGTTAACTACATTGTAATGGTTGTAGCGGACATTCGAAAAGGAAGATACCCCAGCCCAAATAACATTACGAAAGTCCGCTACTCGACCTTTAATGATCAACAGACGAATCCAGTTTTCTACCGGCCAGAAATGTAAAACAAAGTTGAAAGCTGAGATAAGCCATTCTACATCTAGTGGGTACGCGCTGAGGTCAGAAAATCGTAGGCGTAGCGTTTGGCTACGGTCCATCGGCACCGTGTGAAGATACGCTCAGGTGTAGGCATTTTATTGGGATGGAAATAGATCAGGAAGCGCACCTAATAATCCGCAAAAAAGGAACGTTACATATTTTTTGAGTAAAATCCCGTTAATATTTTCTTTTCGTTTTGCAGGACAATCAGGTGATTTCCCAGTCGGAGACGAGCTGGCACTTTTACAGAAGACAAATGACATTATTAAATCTAGCATTAAAGCGAGAAGATGCAGGAAATTACACGTGCCAGCCGTTCATCGTCGATGCCGACAACGAACACAGCGCGCTACCAAAGTCCATCATGTGTGCTCGACTTGAGATACAGAGTACGTAGCAACGGAAATTTTCTAGCTTAGCTGATAGGAGGTAACGTTGCTACGCGTCGTCTCGAGTGTGTTTCTATGGCAACCATGAGCATGCTGTCATCGCCAGTTTAGGTTTTTTTAGCGTTAGCTAATGGTTACCACAACATATTGATGCCATGCCGTTCCGTAGGTTTGTTGGATAAAACCTATTTGAATCTAGCAAGATCCGTCTGGAAATGTTTAGCGGTTTAAACGCCGCACGTGGAAAAAAATGATATCTGATATATTTGTTTCTATTACTAGCCAAGATACGCACTCGAGGGTTCCACTTATTCACCTCAGCGAATGGAAACTCTAGAACCATCGTCGTGCATATTACCAATGTATCGTATCTAACAGATGCTTAGTAACTGCAATGTTCTTAAGAGTTTAGTATTTGGTTGTATGGAATGATTTTTTCAAATGTTATCCGAAAAGTCAAAACGCTTTGGTAGTATTTTGTGGAACTGATTTTAAAGTGTTTAGGCCAAGTTTCGTAGTTGTTTGAACAACTTCACTGTGGTTGGCGGCCATCATACATGTATGGCTGTGTTCCCTATTTTCAACCAAATTATACTAAGGAATAAGCGCTGTCCAGTTGTATCTACGCTAACCATTCGCATATATTGGTATGTATAATGCTTAAGATATTCCTCATTTTGATTCTGTTCCATATCGTATAAAATGTATGCTACCAATAATTGGATTAAGAATTCCTTGAGTAAGTAAGTTCTGGTAAGTTCTTAAACGTCACACCAGTAAGGGACCCAAGATCTTAATTTGAACACGAAGGGATCAATTGGTTACCTTCTCCTCCTCCTCCTCCTCCTCCTGATCCGTAACATGCGCATGCATACATACAATTCAGCCGCACTTTTAATTCAATTTACAGAAAGAAAAAAACTAATTCCATTCGTATCGCATTGGTTAATCCAAGAAAAAGATCTTCTGTAAAATTAAAAAGTCCAGCTTCGTCGATGTCAAGAGTAAACGCGGCTGAGTTATTTGCGACTCCAATACCTATTTTATCTGTATTTGTAGCCAGTTTACTTGAAGAAGTTAAACAATTGGCCTTTTATGCGGATGGTAGCCTCGGTTATCTTTAAACAGTGAAATATCCGCTTATCTCGCGGATGGGCAAGGGGGGGGGGCATACAAATTTGCCTACCGCTAATAATAATACGGCTATCTAATCCTCCATTGCGTACAAAGGTTGTAGATGTAAGAGAAATCTAATGACAAATGAAGACGTGCACAAAGGATAGCAAAATTTTTTTTACGGAAAACTCGACCAGTATCGAGATTTAAAAAATTTTTTAAAAATATCTACATTCTGTGCCACAAATAAAAAACTTGAAGACTTAAAATACATATCTGTAATATATCTGCGCACACTTAACAGTTTGCAAGTCTACGGGTATCTCAAGAAATACACCGAATTGCTACGAATCATCCACGGGCGCCCTGAAGATAATGTAGACTCTTTGCGTGCAAATTCTATAGACTTATATGCTTTCCAGGTGGAAGTCTGTGTTATTAGATCATCACGCAAAGAAGCGTTCCGAAGAAAGACTCTCTAACTATTACTTAACATATAGGTGAAACACATAGGGCATTTACTTGTTGAACCCTAAAGGCAAATGCTGAAAGCTGTGTACTCTCGAAAGTAGATTTAATTTAGCCTATAATCAGGCTAGGTATGAACACAGTAACTAGATTCCCTCAAAGCCAACACTATAGAATAGAATCAGCTTCGCTATAATTTTCTTGAAAAATCAGGGATGATTTTATAAACATATTGGAAGTATAGGATAATATTCGAAGAGAATAATCCGAAAACACGTTATGGAATTTCTTGCCATACAACGGAAATATTCTGGATGGTCTTAAATTTGATGCCCCACCATAATTCTACTACCAAGCTATAACTATACCTTCAATATTCTATCGTGTTAGCTTAACTATTTTACTGTACCCGTCTCAAACACATCATTGAAGTTCTTATTTTTTTTAGAACCTCTCACAGGGGATAAGCCTTGTTTCGTATATTCGATCCATCATTGTATACTCGATACATGTCACAGTGGGTGTAGTAATTGTGTTCGGTAAGCACCGTTGCCTTCTGTAACTTTGATACAACATATAATTGTTGGTGAATGAGGTGTGACAGACACAAGTTCTACCCCACTGAATCGGTGCGCAATAACATGGTTATTTCATTTTTAACTTTGCTATTTTCGCTATGGCGTGTGAAGCAGCGCTTTGTTGCGACTTGGGCATTTCTTAGTTCTCCATACTGAAATACACCAATTAGGCCAAAACGGGCCTGATGATGTACTGGGCCTCCGATTTGTATGCCAGTCACAACATAAGTACGGAAGACCAGTTCAGGAACACGGCTCGAGAAACCAGTGCTCTCGCTCGACTCACTCGTGGATTAGGTACCTAGCTAGGCCTGCATAACCATTCAGATTCGAACGTCCAGGAACCTGAGACAGTTGATCGTGGGCTACGCATGAGGACGAACAGGAAAAGAACAAGCGTACGAGTATTATTCGTAGTTGCAAGATCTGTAAAGGGGGCATTCTTAAGGATCTGGGTTCAAGCGGAAACAGCCTTTGAAAACAGGAAAAGCGAAAATACGCTGAAGCAACTTAATGGATAAACAATTTTGCAGAGGTTACAATACTAACAAGAGTCCTTGCCTTTCTTTATAACACGCTTGAGTAAAGCACACGTTTGATACTAAAATACCGCAATACGTGAAGGCAACATGATTCATTACCGCAAAACAATAGCATGGTTTCTTTCTAGAAATAACTGACACCCGATACGATTTACTTTGGTAATGTGGACCAAGACAATATTTAGCCCCATCTGGTTTACAACTGTTCATGGAGGGCCACTGACCACTTAAGGCGCAAGTTGTCCATAAATGATATCGGTAAGGTATTGGTTGGTTCGTGACCTATTGCCAGTACTGATAATTTTCCAACGTTTTCTCTTTAAAGTTAGCATGTAGGTGTAAGCCTGCACGACAAACGACTACTCGAAAAACAAAGCAGACATTGGCAGACTATTATTAGCTGGCGAACAACCTATCTGCTGTTCAAGTGTCTTACGATGCTACTCAAATAGTTATACAAAATACTTAACTAAACATCCTCCTGGTAGGCGAATAGGTAAAGTGCTGGTCCTAAGGACATCTAAAATGGCCCAGGTTCGCATTCAGACGTAGACACATCTCGGTTCGTGATAAGGACGGCTAGTCGTATGACTAGCGGCTTACGTGCAGCACGTAAAGTACGAAATCTGTTACCAAATCTGTTATATATACAGATAACATGTAACATACACAATGGACGAACTCCGTGCTTGATGCATCTTGAACCCATCAAACGTAATGGAGAGGTTCTTCATCAAATATATAGTTAGAAAATATGTGTCGATATTAAGCCTTTAATTCGAACATGACATCTACTGGCGTATGACAAATCAATTACTCGCGCAGCCTATCGCAAACACTTATAGAATTTTTTTTTTCGTTATAATTCGACCTTCAACTAAGCTTTCCTGACATATGTGTGTGTGTGTGTGTGTGTGTATCTGTCTATATGTCTTTACTATAACGATTTTCGATTTACTATAGCAGTTGGTCAAAGCCTGATTTCGCTTTCGCTCACCGTTTGATCTTTTTTTTTCTTATTTTCTCTTCGATTTAGCTCCTCCAGGTCGTTTGGTTAATGTATCAGTGCGACCTTCGCAGGTAAGCCCACTTCACTAGACGTAAAGAAATTAACTCTGCGTGTGATGCCATGTAACCCCAGAATAAGTGGCTTTAGCCCAAGTTTATGAAAAATGTAGGTAACAACATAAAGTAAAACAATGATCTTTTGATGCACGCGCAATGAAGTCTCATTAATATCTGTATATTTTAGCGCTCTAACAGCGTTTCTTAATAGCTGCGTTTTTGTAGCTTACATTACCGACGTCTTGTTTGAGAGGAGCAACGGTACGACATGCCGCTTTGCCTATCGCCCTTCTGTCTTAACAAAGAGTGTAAGGAACAACGCCATTCATTGCTGGACCCTTTTCTCCTCCACCCGCACCGTGATACGCTGTCAATTGTCGCGTCATGCATTAATCGTAAATTAAAAACACCCGGTGGTACTGACCGTCCTTTCCAAGCACTATCTCATGATACCAACGAGTTCAGAAAGTTGCTCATTACTCGCAATGCCTGCAGCATCGTCTGTAGAATATCTATTTTGGCCCGAAGCGACATGGGGCTGTCTCTTACTCTATCGATCAGCGCCATTCTCTAGCTGGGCTCAGCCAGTGAAAAAGTCTTTTTTTTTCCACGTCATTTTTTTATCTTCAGTGTTATAAATGTATGTTGCGCGATTCAAGCTTGTGTAGAGCCTATTTTTCTGAGAAGATCTCTGTAATTAGGGCAATTTTATTCTTCCGCCTAGAGCCCTAAAGTGTTGTCATTTCTTTTATGCTCTTTAGCTTCCGAGGCGTAAACCGTTGTTTCGTTAAACTTACAACTACAGATTACCAAAGATCTGACGCACATATATAGCAAATTTTATCCGCGAAGTGTGCGCACTATAAAAAGTGCTATTAAGTCTCCTCGATACTTGAAAAGCTAATGTGTATGTATTGGCTCAGACGTCATTCCCATATAAATAACGTTACTCTTTTTTATTTTCCAACGGGAGCTTGTGGTAGAAAATAGAAACGCTTGCCACATCCGGTCAGACGCCGCAAATTATTCGCTCTCTTTCAAAGGGCAAAATGCATACATTAAAATTCAGTTGTATAATACTGAAATATTCATGCGGCTTGTATCAAATTTTGACAACATTCCAATAAGAAAATTGTTTGGATCTCAACTTTATGCTGAAATTATTCTTCGAGATTTTGACTCCCCTACTCCGGAGTTCCTTGGAAACGGAACAAATATGTTATTATCGAAATGATACAAAGTCAGATAGTAATGGGTCACACTTCGATTCAACGTGAAAGAGCTATACTTGCAACAATAGGAAATTAGGGTTTACCTCTCTCTTTTTTCTTTGAAGTCAAACTTTCTAAATTTCTTCGTTATAGGTGTTTGCATCAGTTCGGTGGGCCGTAGCTGATGGAGGTGATGGCGGTGCTCCGATTACTCATTTTACTCTTGTTTATCAACAGGTATTCGACAAATGCCTCGAAAGGATATGACATAATGATATTTCGTCTTTCTTTTTATACTATATCTATGCAGGTGTATATTGTTGGTCTAGTAAGATTTTATACGCATGCGCGTTGTAGGATCTTCGGCGCCATTAGTGATCTTATCACCTTGACGGGTACCAGATGTGATTATGTGCACCCACTCATTATTGTGCTCATAGATTGATTTTATTTACATTGATACTTTTGCTGTAGGTATTGCAGGCACATTTTGGCAAACTCGATGCCGATCCGGACCCTCGCAACGCCAAAAGAAACGATCCGCCAACTGAAAACACGATAATATCAAAGTCTTTCGAAAGATTAAAGGACGCTCACGGAAAACAATATCCATCGGAACTTCAGAATGACACCTTGCACGACGATCAGCACCAACGGTCAACGCATCTACCCTTACATATTAGCCCTACAGCAGTGCGTATTAGTGTTGCTAAATGGAATCGAATTTTCTCATAAACTCTATTACCACTTGTCGCTAACACGTTCGTTGGATGGATATAGGTCTTTCATATATTCTACATGCTCAATAACATATTTCAGAGGCAGTATTTTGTGTATCACCTCCGTCCGAATGCGCTATACCAGTTCAAAATGTGGGCTACGAATCGACTGGGGTCGGGCGAGCACAGTCTCTTGTATATATCTACAAACACTGTGCAAAAGAAGTCCCATAATCGGCCCAACAGCAACGCTACCAGTAATCAGGCACAGAACGAAGACGCCAAGGCAGGTAGGATAATCTCTCAGATTCTACATAAAAACTCGAACTTAAACCTGGAAAAAAAACGAGCCAGCTCTCGCACGAAATCGAATTTATGCTATCGATCTTCATTTCTGCAGGCGAGCATCTGCTGCAGACAGGAGCTCCAACAAATGACAGAACCCATAGTGGCCCTGCCATAACTGTAGTCGGCTTTGCGGATGATGACCTCAGTGCAACGGCGTGGATAACTGCAGTTACAATGGTTAGCTTCGATAATTTCGAATAGTAGGTGTTTTCCTGTTCCGTAAAGTACGAGCTACGAGGTATTCTTGTGGCAAACGCTTTTGAGAAAACTTTGTTTTTTTGAAAAAAAAACACCTTTTACCAAATAAGCTCATGCCATTTATATTGCAGATGTGTGTTATCTAATAGTATGTTCTGTTTTTACCCTTAGGTATTTACAACAGTAGTCATCCTGGCACTGTTGAGTTGTGTCTTAATCTATAAGGAAGCTTCCAATGGTAAGCGGATAATGAAACTAATGAATGTACCGAGTAGCGGAGAGGTCATCTTGACATTTGGGACGGTGCGCCGAGCGACGCACTTGAATAAGTAGATGAGAAAAGATCATTTATGTTATTTAAAAGACTTGCATAGTTGCATGATTGGGCGTGCTGATAAGATATTTTTGTTTTTATCGGTAGGGTACAATGAGCTTTCGTCGACTAAGTTTATATGCGTACAAGTGTATCCGTATATAAGATTTGAACAAAATTGCCTACGTATGGTACCTTATAACCTTTATAAGGAAAAGGGTTAACGTGCGATAGTTATTATGTTAACTCTCTCACAGACGACACAGCATATATACCAATGTACCAAAGCGACCCGGAGCCTGCGAACGGCAGGCAGGTTCCAGTAAGCTTCTATTCTTCCGCGGCCGCAATGCAGATACTTTTAGACCCAGCTAGATCATTTAGGAGATTCTACCGGCTTCAGGTAATATGGGCATGTGTTATGGCATTTTTCAACATCTTAATATGAAGATGCTAGAACTCTTGTTGATCCCGCAACGCCACTGTTATTCATACGTGCCATTGAGGGGGACTATAAATGTACAGAAAAGACCATTGCAATCGTCGCGGCTTGTATTAGGGTTCGTAGCCAAAGCTGTGTACAAACGGCAACGTATATATGGATAACGTCGTAGCGCCGATCCAATATGGTCCTTTTCCACCTAATTCCCCCCCCCCCCCCGCCCAAACCTAACTGCATCGTTGATAAGCCGTTTATTTTAAATTTTAGCGTACTTTTAAAGCATTAGCAAGTCTCCTATGCATATTTATAGTGTTATCATAATTATTGTTGTCCCCGACGAAAGTGACAACGCTGTTGACAACCTTCTCGTTGTCCACTTGGATTCTAAGTACCAGGCTAAATTGCAAATTTATTTTTATACCAATCCTGCTAGCAATGGAAAGAGCCGCGGAGATGAAAGGACTTGTTCGGATATTGGTTCCATTGACTTGCTGAGGCAAAATAAGACACGCACTGGGTGATTTTGTGTTTGCCATTCCAGAGAACTGAAGTTTTGGAGGAAAGGACAGTTCTTTTGGCTGAAGTGAATACCGGCAATTGCAATGATAACCTACAGCTGCCCCCAACAAGACTTAACAATAACTCGGTCCTACGCCCCTTGTGTGAACAAGATAAAGAACAACTGGCGGATGACGAAAATCGGCAACGACGACAACCACAACAACATTAAAAAGTATATAAAATAATATGAGAAGTGGTAGTTATATCAGCCACAGGTATTATAGTGAAGCAAGACTAAAACATGGTATCAAATGTGAATAAGATTTTCTCCCTACATACGGAATATGGGGCTTATTAGTGGGCTTATAGCGAGCATATTTAATACGAAAGAAGGAAACCCAGAAATACCCAAACTCACGCCGAAGCACGCCTATCAACAACTATTTACGATACACACACTCACGAAGTCGCCGATGCACTTGTGGGATCCACATTTAATGAAACCAATCTGTGTGGTAGAATTCGCTCCTTGATTTTGAAGGGCCACAACTTCGTGTGTGACGTGTCTTTGGATGTACGCTTGCAATACTTCTATGGACCCCAGTGAAGGGATTAGGACAAAACTAGATAGAAAAATCTATCGACGAAGCTATTGCAGCGGGAAGGGTAAAGGGACAGACCGTAACAGGGTCTATTCAAGCATATCTTACCTGTCATTTGTCGTACCATGGGAATAAGTTCTTAAAAGAGACATTACTAAACTGCTGTATCTTACTACAGCGTAGATCATTAACTAAAAACACAGATGTTATTTAAAAACTGCACTATTGTGTTGTTATCCCGGTCGAAATCAAGTGAGTACTATGTTATTATTACATTTTTTGGCAATTATCAGTTTTTAGCGTTCAGAATTACCGCAGTCACTTTGTGTTTCGTGTTGAGCAGTCTCTCGTAGCTCGTAGTAAACGAATGATTTTCATTTGCTCACACGCATTTACCAAAAAGCTAACATACAGCTGTAATAATAAAATACACACGACTACGAGGCAATGTTGTTAACGAAAAGCCACATTCAACTTTCTGTACATTTCGAATTTTACGTCCGGCATTGCCCTTAGGCGTTCTATCAAACGGCTGGCTCCCAGCACGAAACGAAGTACATCGATGCCCCGAGCGGGTTTGAGCCTAGATTATAACCTACTCTAAGATTAGCAGGCAAATATATCGTCCGCTAAGCTATCTCTGGAAGTCAACATTACACTTATGATTCACTACCACCACCCAGCGCTATCAATTTGTTCACTATTTTATATTTACTTCTTTCTGTTATAATACTTTAGTATGAAATCATGTTACAGAGTAAGCAATTGTTGAAAAATAAAACCCTCAAACCATAGAAACCCAAGTACCTTTCGCTCGTTCCAGCGACGGTAATGATAATCCTCTGTAAATTTGGTCAACGAAACTGGCGGTATTAACGGTATTACATTTCTCACCTCTGATACTTTAGTAAATGTCTAATTATCTCCTATCTGAGTTATTTGGACGTCCTATTTTGTTCCAGTCCTAATAGGTGAAGATTTGCTACATTTTCCATTACTCTTTTTTATTTTTACTTTTTATCCGATGGTTGATTAAGCAAATAGGCCACTTGCCTTTAGATAGAGCAGAAACAACAAGATGTCAACATAGCCTCTTTGATTTTATATACATATATATATATATTGTGTGCTTATTATTGCTACCGACGTAAATACCATTAGTATGATTTTTATAGTATCATTGTTGTACAACATACGTAGTGATGTACATGGATTCTGTACGCCGTTAAAAAGATCTGGTATTAAAAAGGTCTATTTATATTACGTACTATTGGTACATGATTCGATCATAACGGCTAGCGAATAACGGGGCCTTCAAGGATGCAGTTACGTGTCCTGCTGTCTTTTTGTAGGCTGGTGGATATGATGGCGGTACTGTTAGATAAATTGATAATTGACAATCAACGAACCTCTGAAAGGAAGAAGGCATGACAGAAAAAAACGATTAGTAAATGATGCTGAACTTGCAATACGCGGCTCTTCGTGGCTAAGCGAAACGGCGTGTAGCTTAGCCCCCAATGAGCTCACAATCATGGGTTCACAGTGTTAATATTCAGTAACTAGAACAAAAGGAACGATACACAGTGTTACTGTCCTGCAATTACAAGTTTCTGCTGTTTTGATTAAATAAACATACTTAGTTTCTTTCGATCCCTATGAAACAATATTCAAGTGTTGGTCATTCCAGCTGAAGTGATCTAACCGCGAAATTTTTCAAACGGATTGTCGATCAAACGACATCTCTACGACCGAGTTACCAGAGACCTCTTCAATATACGTAAACACCACACTAACTAGTCGGAACAACGATCGACCTATTGTATTTACACATAGCCCTTATGCTTATGTACGCGCTGAGAGATACAATATTTTTATTTTAGGCAGCTTAACTTCCATATATACATATATATGTATATCTTACTTAACACAGATGCATAACATCAGCTCATTTTAGGATGATTGATGATGTTAATAGTTCGTTTTCAGCGTGAACCCGATGGCGTTCTACCGGTGCTTCGGTGATTTTCATAGCGCCGCGTTAATAGGCTATAGGCCTGGGAAAACAGCAAAACAGTGTTCAATTGTATGCAGAGACAAATATGCTCAGTTCGACCGATGACAAAAATAAGGGCTCTACGTCTCAAAAGAGAAAATTGTCATTACCACCCGCTCAGTTTTTGCTCAACCAGAGCTAAACAAATGATTCACGAGCTCTTCTCTAATTTTCTCAGGTAACGTAAATCAGCGTAATTTGGTTCAGTTGCTAAGACAGACCGGTCAACTTCTTTTTGGACAAATCGCTATGTATACCAATCAATGTCATTGCGTCAAGCAAGAATAGATGACGATCCATCTTTTCGTTTCATATTCGACTAGATTTGTATCCATCAAAAGTGAGTGATTAGAGTTAGTATCAGAAGTCACTATTTGTTTGACCAACCAGACCTGTAGTCGTATCGAAGGGCCAATGTTTATGGTTCGTAAAAGCCTGTACCAGTAGTAAAACTTTGTGAATAAATCTTTTTTTGCCCTATCAAGGGGCAGATTGTGTTTGCATCTAAAGGGACAGAAGTGGCAACATTTTGGATCTATGTCAAGTTGTTCAGCCGTCATCTTAACTTAACTTCATTTCAGCTAAAAAATCACAGGTTGCGCTTAGGACTGAATTTAGCTAATGTGTGTTCTATAAACACGAATGTGAATTAAAGTCCAATTAAAAATGATATAAGTCGTCTATAGAAAGCAACGCAATGAACCGACTATCAAACTAACAAGGTAAACTCGTGCATCCGGCAGAACCGATAATTGTGACACTGACTGAGGCCATGTCTGCCTGGTATTAAACCACCTGTATTAAAATTAGCATAGGTGAATGAACTTCTTAAAAATGCTAAAAAGAAAGTCGATATTTTTATGCTTATTTAATGATATCAGCCTTGACCGCTGGGATGTACCTCCAAGACAAATTCCGGACTTTTCGCGAGCCCAACGAGAAAACTGGGCTTTTCAGTTCGGTCAAACAGTCGACAGGCGTAGAGAATTCGGATGTTGGAGAATACTAAACAAATTGTGTCAAAGATGCGATAGCCACAACTATCGTCTGATAATGAAGAACACCTATCTTTTAAGGACGCTTTTAATAATAATAATTGTCAAGCTTTTTGGACGACACAGTCGATTGGATATATCTAAATAAGGCTTTTTTTTTTTTACTTAAACTTACATTTAACATAAAAACGAATCGACCTGAATGTAATGACTTTTTGCTACGAAGACCTATCTAAGATAAACCAGAAAAAGTTTAAGTTCGTTTTGAGAAGCCAAATATTCTTAGGAATTAGTTGAAGGAATACCTGGACACTTTTGTGATGTATAATACGTCCTGTGGCCCTGGGTGATGTATTTTAGACGATCACCTGATGACCTGTCGCGCAATACATCAGTCCCAAATAAAAATCATTGACAAATTAATAGCGCATTATTCTTTGTTTGCATAATACTGTTATCACATATGACAAATAATATCAGTAGTTTACAAAAAATAATTATATTCATGCATACGTCAATTGGGTGAGTCTCATTAAATTTCATTATAGACGAAGAAACAGAACTAATGGTTTTTATCGCACAGAAACAAATGGCCACGAAAACGTTCGTAGGAAAGAATCCATGAAACTTCAATAGAATGCGTACTTAATAGTTGCAAAAATGGTGTTACCAACAGTAAGACGTTGTAAGTTCATTCACTCGCCGACAATTTTTTTTTGAATAAGGAGACTATTTCAAGTTTTGATTCTAAGCGGCTGGCTAACCAGCCCTGTCTCGTCTTTTGAGCCATGATGTTTGCGATCTTAGGCTCTCAGTTAAAAGTGAACCGGTAGCTTGTATGGAGTAATAAATCGGTTGATGTGATTTACTAATATGTTTGTATCTTACAGGCTAAATATTTACATCATAGTTCTAAATGTTGTTATCGATGTACACCTTTAACTTCTATTACATTTCATTTTTTTGCACAACCTTGCCTAGATCTTGAATTCCACTCGACCCGTTATTATATAAATTTTACTGTTCGTTCAGGCAGCTGCAAAACGTCGAAACGGGAAATCGACGATAAAATCGAAAAAAGACGGTCTTATTTATGTTGATAAATGGGAAAACACCCATAATCCTCGCCTAGGAATCGGTTACCACTGTCGAGGCAGTTTCTGAGATAAGCGATATGTATGTAGATGTTCATAAGTTGAAACTGCCATTTTCAAATCAATCTACTTAACAGCTTTGCCATATGCATCGTAAGGTCATAGGTATTATATTTTTCTTTATGCGTATTCAGTCATTATTAGCCAATTGCGTATGTAAATTTTTCAAGTTTATCGAAATAGGAGTGGTCATTAAGGTAGTGATTTCCGAATGAGACCGTCCATTCAACTTATTCCGGCTTAGTTCAAACTTGTTATTGCTGGGTAAGGCCATGCAGAGGTTATATGAAACTATATGTAGTTATCACTAATTAGTCACCGGCATCTAACTGGCTCTTATTCTTCACACATACACAGCTGTTCTTGGTAAGACAACAAATAACCAATTAAAAGTGCCGACCAGTGCGGCTGATCCAGAGAATCCATGGAAGACCTGGTTTGAATCTACCGACGAGCTGGTTCAGCTTTTCACAACAAGTGGGTAAACACTGAGGGATCATAGCTTAGCCTTCACTGGTTACCCACGTCTGTAGAGAGCTAAAGCCCTTGTGTATACCATCAATAAGCCTCCAGTTGGTTTTACCAGTCTTAACATCCTGGCAGACGATAAAATCGCATTATCTTCTAATTTTCATTTTAACATGGAAAATAACTAGCGATGAAATTAGACCTCCAGATAAAGGGTCGGACATCGCAACGGGCCGTTATCTGTCAACCGACGCTGCTGGAAAGCAAAAGCGGCACCGTTAAAGGTTAGAAAGGCACCCAGCCTCTGTTTTTTTTTAATGTCTTTTCCCTAGTCGTAGATAATGCCAAACAAATCCAACAATCCATTTTGTCTTGAAAGAAACATAGCACTTTATTCAAAGTAGTTACCACTCTAACGGCTCGCAATAAACGACTGGTCAGAACCCCCTACTCTGCTGTCTAACTTGTCCGCCGGCCGACATTAATCATTCAGACCATTGACCAAATTAAACAGATTTCGCCTATTCAGTAGTTGCCACAGAAGCAACACAGAGCCCAAATGTAACGAAAAAAACAAAAAGTTGTGGGTGACTTGTAGTACTGACGCTGAAATAAACATACTATAACATATGCCTGTATTATCAGTTAGTCTCATCGATCTCGATTCTTTTTACTTGACCTACAACTTATTTAGAATGTTAGCACTAAGGCCTTGTGAGATTAAGATGTACCTCATGAAGTCGGAAGTTGTGTTTAATGTTCGACTTAAATGAATCTGTTCAAACGGTGCACTATAACATTGGCCATTAATAAAAAATTGGTAATCCGCTACATGTTACTTTAGACCTAATGTTGAGGACTACATTAGAGAACTGTGATATAATATTAGGTTTCGTAAAGCAGGCACTGCTATGTCTTCTCAACATGAATTCCTCTGCCTTGACCTTGATGCTATATGCCTCCTAAATCTGTAGAATTTACACAGTTGCCCTGAGCAGATCGTATCGTGACAACGGCCCAGACGCGAGCGCGTTTTATAGAATCGACGTCCCCATGTTCGCGCTTCGACCTGCGGCTGACATGGCTTGTATGATATCATAGACCTTGAGTTAAACGTATGCTTAAATGCATTTAAAAATCGGTGCCTGGCTTGGTAGTAACCGAAACAGCGTTTCGGTCACAGATAAAAACTTTACCGTCTCCGATAAATACTATTGGTAGTCAAAGAGAATTCTCGTCATGTAAACGTTTCAACACATTTGCTATTTAGATCGGTCAGTTAATAAATTCATTTTATTCCGCTGTATTGCTATAACACATTCAAACTTAGATATTAGCGGTAAGTACATTAGCAAAGAGAAAAGATGCGCATACATTCGTCAACGCTTAAATGTATTTGTAGCGTGAAATTCAGGTCTATATTTTGCTCTGGATAAAGGATACCTGCCAGCCTACATTCACATTAGGTGGTATTAAATATTTGTACTAAAATAAATAGCGGAACTTGCGCCATACGACACATAGAAAATTCGCAACGATATTTGCAAAATATTCACTATTCAAATACCTTTTGATTTTAATAAAAAAAAGTCGCGGCTAAAAGTAAAGTGCACGTACTTTTTCTAATGAATTTGCATACAGTTTAATATGTTAACATTGAGTATTTGACATCAACGGATTAAAATTGTTTTTAGTAATATCTTTTTATTTGACGCAAATTGCGAATTTCGGATGAAGATGTGTAGCGAACAGCGGTAAGTGGTTCCTTATTTCACACAACATTTGTTTTGAATGAACCGCGCTTCAGGATGGCGTAAAAGCATTCTGCCAAACGGCGCTTCGCTCGCCTATATATGTTTGTTATGGCTATACGAGCCGAATAACTGATCAATGCATCGATTAAGTCTCGCGCACGCTGGTTTGCGCCTTAGAGAGAGGAAAAGAGCCATTACTTTATTGTTGCAGATGTAGTTTTCCTAAGTTAACAATAACCTTTACACAAGCATATTGGTTAGTGGTATATACAGTTTTGTCAATACATTGAAGGGAACATGCTTTTGACTGCAGTTCGGAACGCAGTGGTGAGCTCGTTTTATCTTTGTTGTGGTTTTATATATTTTTTATAACTATGTAATTACCTTTGAATAATATGAAATAGCAAGCTTGCGCAGGCATGTGTTACATAGTTTGCGAAAAACCGTGTGGCTGAAGCAGAAGCCCCTCAGCAGTAAACCAGTGCGTCTTTTTTTCAGTTGTCTAATGCTTTTTGGATTACCCTAAAAGCATATTACGGCATAAATTACTCGATCTATGACAAACGTACATAATTTGTAACAAATGGTAAATAAAGATCTGAGTGTTGGCCCGTACTTTTCGGTACTTAGCCCCTTTTTAATAAGCTTGTAACCGGCAGTAGAAACTATATGCGTGCTTGAAAGGACTGTATCAATATCTACACTAGCCACTCATATAACGAATTGGTCGTTATAAGCAGCGGGTGATTATTTGTATTCTCGGAATATTGCTCAGCAAATTCAAAGATCTTTCAGAAGGCAGTGCAATACTTTTGAAGTTACTTGAAGTGTCCAACTGTTTCGTCGCACTACACTAAGACTTTAAGTGACATAAAAACGTTGTGCATCCGCATCGCTATCCTGCAATTAAAAGTTCAGAAGAAGCACTCAGTGGACAAAGGGTTCAATAAAAAAAGAAAATATATTGGTTTATAAGGTGTTGAATCGTATTCACTAAAAAAAGAGCTGCAGCAGCTCTCTTTTATCTAATTTGTTGTGTTGCAGGCAAGTAGCGTCCACCGGATCACCTTACCTACACTGGCTTGTCGTGCTGCACTGAGGACGGCCAAAGCATCCTCTGTGCTTTCCATGTCAACAAGTAGCAGGCCTGAAGAATCCGAGGTGAATCAAGGAAAAACCTCATTTCAGGAATCGTATGGCTCAAGTCCATCTGTTACAGATGAACCTGATAAACTCTATAGGCAGCTTGATCTCGAGGTGAGAATATGGGTCACATAAAAGTGCGTAAAACGTATCACTCAAGTGAAAGAATCAGACAACGCTATTAGAGATAGTTCAGAAGGTTGGATGGCCGAGCTCTTTAGCCAACTTTATCCTGTTGTTATCCATTGTTTGAAATTATATACGCAATATGTTTTTGTAGTGAGTTTGCACGGCACCGGGCATTGCAGTGTCAAGAGTAACAGCAATATAAACTAGAGTGCAAACTCGGCTTTCAACAAATTTTAACAAAAAAAATTTAAATTTACTAATTAAAATTGCTTCTTAATCCTAGCCCATATTCGAAAAAGGACACTACAAAACAGCAGATATTATAGTTAGAGGAATGGGACTACGGCCTGTGAGGGAGAATATTTTCAAGAGCAAGCTCCTGCAGAAGTTATTTTAACAGAGGTGGGATTTCATGACCATGTAATACTACAATAATGATCGTAATATTACAGGTTCGTGGGCACGATCATGCCGTTCTTAAAAGCTACAGGTGGTTCGTTCTCGAGTGCGCTAAGCATCTGGGTATTACGGTGGTGAAAACGTGGGAACCCAGCAAAACGCTAGAAAGGTAAATTTTGGAGCTTTATATTAACCCTAGCAATAAACGATCTGACAAATATATAACTTAATATTTATTTAAATGCAGTTCTATTTAAGATAATGGAAGAGCAAAAGTTTCACTTTTTCGGCAACACATAGTAAAGCCGATACTAAGCCAAGTCACGCTTATACTAATAATCCATTACGGCACACAGGAAGAATAGGCTGAAATCAGCGTTCAGCCATCGGAAACACATCGTGCAATACGAGGCGCGTACATATTATCAGGTGCGGTGTCCTACAATATAATCGAATTACCGTAGTAACTTTGTCCCAGTATCGTAACTACTAAGAGCCCAAGAAAATATAAAAAATCTAATCGGCGATGATGTAAGGCAATAGGTAATAACCAGTTTGAGAAGGAATTAGACTGCTGAGTTTCTGAATGAAATAGACTAAAGAATTTTCTTGGTTATCAGAAGAATCATTGGGAGTATTTTAGATACAGTATAACTATTACAAAAAAAAGTAACTTAAACATTTTAGCGCATAAAGTCTCTTTGGTTTACATGTTTTCGGCAGTTTATAGATTTTTAGGGAGTTAGTATTGATAGGATCTTAGTGTTTGTAATTCTTTGACAAACGTTGTTTTTTTCTCTTTTAAGGTGATCGTGCTGGAAAAATTGACTGGATCTACGGCAGAGACTTTTCTTGAGTATATTGAAAGGAATATTCCTGAAGGAGTTGCAATGAAGGTCAGTAAGTTAAGCCACTAATCAACATTAACTCAAATATAATTTACCGTAGTCTGTACTATACAGAACGATAGCGGAACGATAATGACCTAATTTACACTGTGAATACATTGTTAGAGTCGTCCATCAATCTGCTCAGATTAGGAACCTCTCAGCGTCCAAATCCACTACGAATAATTAACGATCTTGTGAACCAATCTTCTTAAAGCCGAATTTTTGTTTCGGAATGAGAGTCTCTTCACACTATGATTCCTAAATTGTCTTTCCTCTACTGGCTCCAGGTAACGAAACATGAGATCCAGCCTCTTCCAGAACACTTAAAACAGAGACCACCAGAATTACTAGAATCGGAGATATAGTTAACTATAAAAAACTTAGTTAAACTGGCGAACTACAAACACTTTTAGTAATGGACACAAGTAAATATTAGCTGTTGTAATGTATAATAATAAATAACAAAAATAATTATCTAAATGTCTTGCGTGTTACTTAATAGTATTAGCTGCCTTCCGACTATCTTTTATGATTATAGATTTCGCGCAATAAATATTTTGTAATAGAAACCCTGATATGCTTTAGGTGAATCTGTGTGTTCACTTAAGACAGCTGAACATTTTTCATCGTGTGTTTATTTCCTGCATTTTCCTTCCTACATCTTAATCATGATGTTTCGTAAGTCTGTCATGGAGTACATCGATGTAGAGATCAATACCAAAAGGTACTGACTGGCTTACTTAGGAAATGCCTAGTTGAAATAGATTTTGGCTTTCCATGCGCACCTTTGTATTATCAGAATTTAACTTACATCTCTGCCAACGATAACATCTATTAGAGAAACATAGATTTAGGCCTTTTAAAAAATTTTGTTTTATTCTGCAGCAAGGGTTCAACCTTTAGAAAAGGGTCCTAAGAAGTTTATGAAGTCTTCGCATATAGTTATGCATATACACATAATAAATAATTAGTGACAACAGGTTGCCCAATTTTAACGAAGTTTTTAATGAAGTACTCGTTAGGCTAGTAATTACATTATAAATTATTAGTCAAAGAGAATGCTTTTGAAAGTAACCGTTTGGCATCCTCAAGAAACTTGGCCTTTTAATAAATTTAAAGCAAGAGTCTGTCCTAAGTCTGTACCTCTTACTGTTAAGTATGCATGTGAATGAGATCAATGTAATGAAAGAAAACACTAATGTATATGTTTATACGCATCAGAAGTAACGGTCATTCCCATGTTTTCATTTCACCTTATCCACTCCTGTTGAAGACCATGACCACGCAATTCTTAATACACTGATGTTTGGGCTGAAGTTCAAGTCACGTCTTGCCCAAAAATGACTTTATTTAAATAAAGTCGAGCGAAATCGTTTACCAATGCCTTATTCAATAATGAGCCAGCGAAATTGAAACGTTACAACAATTTAAAAAGCGACAGGTTCTACTTACAAATTGTCCAATAACATTAATATATCAATCGTAAATGCTTTCGCCCGTTGGTGTATAAACAAACACTGCTGGACAATGAAACATCCATTCTAGGTCTCATGTACAGTGTCATATTATGAGCGTGTGTTACAGTTTGACTAATGCTCGCTAAGCGTTGACTCTCTCTTTTACATACGTTTAGGTTCACATACATGTAGACATCTGTATAAAGTATCTGAAAATATATTTTTCCGCTCAGTACCCGCTAATCACCCCTCAATAAAAACAACAACCAGCTATCAGATACACTCATTTAAGACTTAGCGAGACGGACACTGTTTCTGATCAGATGCATTTATCGCGCTTATTAAGGGGCTTGATAACGAATTTATAGTTGCTTAGCGGATTGCTTGTGCCATGTGTAGAGGAGTCAACATCATGTCCATGCGTGCATCCTTTAAATTTGCACCGCGAAGATTGGCTTGCTGTAGATCACTCCCCGACAGGTCACAATTCTGCAAAGAAGAACCGTTCTTTTGTACTGATTTGCTCTTATCTGTGTACACTACAATACAACTAAGGCCCTATGTTTGATTCTGATGAATGATTCGGAACAGTTCCTAAACATATTCTTACCCGGTGATGTCTTATCAAAATAAGTATTTGATGACAAAGTGATGATTAGCTGTCTAAACACAATTTGTACTGGGTCTCATTTGTGCATAAGGATTTTTTATCTGTTCAGATTCTAAACTTCACGATCTACGCGGTCAACCCTGGCCCCAAATGGGACACGCTCAAAAAATGTCTCATGCAATAATGCTGTAAGTAAGACCTAACTATCAGAACCGTATGTCTTCAAAACCCATGGCATCTATTTAAAACAATGGGCTGGGTTACCATGCCCACCACTGAATCTTTAGTATTTTCGGCTGCGTATTAAAAGAAAGAAGTAGTTTCAAGCCAAAGGCGCACGAAACAGTAACATTTTATTGATGCATTAGTTTCTCATGAACCAACTGTGAGCTTTCGTCGTTACAAATACGACAATTTTGCGCTGTTTACAGGGAGGCCAAAATCAAAGGACTTATCGCTGAAGATAATTTTGTTGGAAAACTCACTTATTGTTGTACTTCAGTTACCGAATTAACAAACGCTTTTCGCTGTGCATAGTTTGTGGGCTTTAGTTGATGGGCCAGCTGGACTTAGTACGCATGAAGACGCAAATCTTGCGTGAGAATGTGCCTACTGATATAAGGAATTCTAACAGGCAATACAGAACGAAGCTTATCGGATTTGTAGCCGCAATCCGGTAAATAGTCGTGACGTTCTCTGTTGAACGACCTAGAGGAGCACGTGTCGATTCTTCGACGTCAATAATCGAGTGCTTCTTGAATTTTTCGATTACTTTCTTTACAACTGATGCACCCTTAACACCTATCTACTAAGAATTACACGCAGTTCGCAGTTGGCGGTCCACCTTAAAATAGTATTTAACAATAAGAATGTACCGCTGTCGACGAACAAAGAATATTTTGAATAAAAACGGACCATCAACCTTGTGGCTATCACAATGGTTTGGTCGTCAATGCACAAGAGTAGAAATGGCATTAATTTTAAAATTTTAGTATTTTTTGGGATAGCCTATACTTTATGTCCCACCTCGTTGGTACTCAAGCTTCGTGAGTTCCACATGGCCAGACCGTTATTGGTAATAGGGCCGGCCACAAGCACAGTATCATGCTCAAACACCTGTATGTCAATGGATTACTCTCAACTTAGCTGAAAGCCGAACGGTACCGCCTATAGACAATCATTATGATTTGTTGAACGGGTGCATGAAAGATGATGCGAAGAGTAAATTAATAGAACTGAGTTTACTAAACCTAAACCGATATGACAGGCAGATTCGAAAGTTAATTTCGAATGTTGAAACATTCCACTTTCAGTCAAACTTAACAATCCTTAGAATAGGTTATTTCGGTACAGCGGATTTTTTTTTAAAAAGTAACGTAGAAAAACACCAAAATGAAATTTTTCTGAATCCGCTTCTTATGCGCTCATGATTTCTTTTCGAATAACCTAGTATTTTCGCTTGTTGGATTTGTATACCAGGTTGAAAACCAAGTCTGCAAACTCAAAAGTTGCTATTATGTGGTGTTTTTTCTAATGTGTGATGTTAAATTAAATACGTGTATGTCATTGCAAGACATATGTTTATTTTCAACTTCGACTGAACATTTTCTTGCAAGTGACTCAGCATTTCGTACCTCAAGATCAGCCCCAGCTAGGTCAGCTTGTCTGAGGTAGCAATTCTGCATGTTAGCATTTTTCAGGGTCGCTACACGCAAACTGACTCCTCCCATTAGGCTGCCATCAAGTTCAGCGCCCTTCAAGTTAGCCGACTCGAGATTCGTAAAGAACTTCGCACCAGCCTCCATATCGCAGCGTCGCAACGTACAGCCTTCTAAGTTGGCACACACCAAACGTGCGCCCTTCAGTATACAGCTCTGAAACGATATTTATAATAGGATACGACAACAGAAAAAGGTAATCCACTTTTTAAGTCCCATTTATTCTGTTTTAATTGCCATTTCACAAGCTGTAGACACACACTGTAGACCTGACAAAATAGTTTTAATTTTTCTTTAAATTTACCCTACTAGTAAAGTGTATACCTCAAGGTTAGCTCCAGATAAATCGGCCCTTTCAAAACAGCAAAAGCTTAAATTGGCGTTGGAGAGACGACACCCGCGGAGATTGGTGAATTTGAAGTTAATTTTTCGCAAGTCCAGATGTGATAAATCTGCACCTTCGAGATTCACACCCTAAAAGTTTAACACATGAGTGAGAATTCGTGACCTAGAATACCACTGATGTAGCTTAAGTGGATGTCATCAGTTCCCGACTTCCATATACCTTTGTGAGGTAGAACAATGGATCTTGATTTTAGTACAAACAGAAACAAATAAGCATCGTGACAACTGCAAGAGTATTGTTAATAGCCCACAGGGACGGAAGCAGGCTTATCTATTAGAGTCACAGTTGAAAATTAATAGCTTAAGAGCTCTTCATACATTAAAAATAAATCAACATAGTGCTTGTTAATTATAATGTGCTTACTTTGACATCTTTTATGAAAAAAATTTGTGACACTTTCCGTGAACTGTCCGTAAGTGTATGTTACTTCAGTCCATACCTGAGATCTACTTATAGACGTATGTGGATATTACACATTTCGTATTGGACAGACAATAATAACTTTATAAAGACGGCTTACACTAAGTGCGTGAGCCAGTTGTTCTTATAAAGTAGTTTTTCAATGAATACGAGTTTGTAATAACAACATGCAGCAGCTATGTGAATATTGTGAAGGTTGTATTATATAGTTATAATGTTACTGAAATTTTAACAATTGTGAATATCTTTGCTAATTGAATTAAAAAAAATGGTACAGGGTTGTTGGCTGTGATTGGCTAGCTATAATGGTTTCCTTTCTGACGACCCCATTTCGTAAGAAAACCCTATATAAGTAAGGCCAAGGTAAGTCACACGGTCAACAACTTTCCGTCATCATTATCACTCATACGACGGTAAGTAATCATTAATAATTTTCACGTTATTGTCATAGCATACAATCTCATTTCGATATTGTTATCTGCATTTTTATTCGGATACGAATGGCTGTTAATTTACTTATCAAGTTCGAATGATTTGAAGTGCCACATACTTCATAAAGCAATTCCATATTTCCACGAAAATTAAAATCTCACGTTTCAGTGCAAAAAATAAGGAATGCTTCTCACCTGGAATCTCAACTCCGATTCTGCTGAGGTGGCTGCTATAATCGCGATAACATCCCTTCGGCTCAAAGGTGTTTTTTCTGATGGTTCTTCGGCTATGCGTGCCTCTAATAGGCTTACAAGGGATTGAATGCCGTAAAATTTTGCCTATTTTAAAGCAATCAACAAATAAAGTAATGAAAAGGAAATAATATTAACGAAGAGCAGACTTTGCTCAAGTCTTATCGCTCTATGGTGGCACATAACTTTATCCAGTATCTAATAGTTGCGTTATAGGATGAAAGCCTTTCTGCTTACTAATTATTCATTTCCTCACACAGCTTTTTTTGATCAAGATATAGTACACATATGCGGCGAAATTTAGGCAATATTACAAGTCGCATACGAAAGAAAATTGTTTACTAACTTGTCTGAAAAATTTTTTAAGGTTTTAGAAATCTATTATTTTTCTTAGTAATTTACCCACCTCTTCTAGAACGCCCAATGGGTCGCAGTCTCTTTCAAGAACCACCTGCCCGTGTCGAAGATAATTGATGATAGGTTCAAAATATCGTGCTGATCTGTTTAATCGAAAGAATTAACAACATATAGTTGAAATGGACCATAATAATACACAGCAGACCATTTGAACATAGATCAATTGATCTCGTAAAGAGCATGGTAATATAACATCGTGATCGATCGGAATCAACTAAACTAATTCAGACTATGATATCCTAAGTCCGAAAAAACTGCTTGGCCTTCTTCTAAATGACGGTTAGAAATAAAATTGGAATGAGCCTGTCTAATCCGGTCGGTTCGTGTTGGCGCGCCCATTATACGGCCATATGCCACTGCGTACCTGTCAATTAGAAACGCGCCGTCTTTGTCTACCGCAGCAGGCCACAACCGGCCCTCAAGGCTAAACATTCTCGCTAACATCGACAGAGGTTCCTTTGAGACAAGGGTGCGTCTGAAAGGCATCGAGGTATTATTAAACCATCACGCGGAAGTAATATTTACCAAATTTATTTGCTAAATTAGGCAGTACAATGAACCAAAGATTTCAATGCTGTCCGTGATCAACCGTGAATACCTTATAAATAGGCGGAGTCGCAAACAAAAAACCGAAGACTTTTTTTAGAAGTATTATTTAAAGTTTTTTCGTTAAGATAAGCAAATAGATAATAGGTTATCAATACAAAACCGAACTGGAAGACAACAAATACACAAAGTATCTTTCCGAAACAAGGCTTCTTGACAAGTATATCGTTTAAGTAACCAACCTTGTTGTTACAAAGTGTTTTCCTCCGACGTTGAGAAGAATCCATTCCGGGTTATCAGCTACAATTTGCGGCGTGCTCACAGGTTCTGCAGATAAAAAAAAACAGAAAAAGACTGAGTGTTTTCCCGATGAAAGGTTTTAGAGAAATACTGCGTTAGCGTTGTTCTCCACTCAATATTCACCTAAAAATTGGCCGTTTGTAGAACAATATAGGACCTCATCATCTCGTATGAGACTCTCCGAATCAATCTCGCCTGTTAGTGGAGAAATCAAAAATAAGTATATTAGTTGCTCGCCTAAAACGATCACGATTTTTTAAAATATTATTAATTATATATTAAATACATTAAATTCTTATTGGTAGATTCTCTAGGTCAAGAAAGGAAGAGCAATATCATTTCTGTCCTAGATTTACTAACGGGCATCCTTCGCAGGAAATTTGACGGTTAGTTGTGACAAGCAGAATTAATTCATATACGAACAGTTAATGGGTGAAGTATCCGTAATCATTACATCGTATTTCATCCAATTAATGCATAACCATTCTGCCTATCTCGCGCAGGCTACATTCTCTCATAATCGGGTTACCTCCGTTTCGGAGAAAGAGATGAGTTACCGGAGGCAGTCCAAGCACTTCTTCTGCAAGCTCTTTAAGCTCCTGTAGCGTGGGTGGGCATTGGACAACCCGACCTCCTTGAGTTGCCCCATTAAGAAACAGGGTTACACGCTTCATGAAGGAACCCAAAGCTGGGCTACGCCTGATAACACAAAATTTTGTAAAAGGTAAGAGACTCAATATCGTATGATATTAATGTTGTACTTCGACGTACGAATCATTCAAGCTCGACTGCTCTAAATTAAAATTTCGCTCACATTTTACACTTTTAATACGTGCTTCAATAAGACAAGACAGCGAATAAGAAGTAAAGACTACCAGTTGAAAAAAGCACATTATATAAATGGGACAAGACGGAGAATACCCGCCAATATTCGACGACATCGGTATGGTTTATCCACGGGATTTTATTATCTTATCAGATCAAGGTCATATTCGTCGACAGTATCATCAATAAATGGGCGTTAACGACAGAACACCTGAGAAATCACTCAATACTTTCTGATGTGTCAATCCCAAGAGACGCTTAAATTAGTTTCGCAAATAATACTGTTACCCAGTAAATGCGTAGTCTTCATACTTTTTCTTAAGCTATACTTAGTCCCCAATTCACTTGGCAATCTATTGTAACTTAGACACTTACATACTGTTCTAAAAGTATTCCAGATGGAATTGAAATTGTATCATATCTTTAGTTAATCACACCTTTTATAAAGTTTACGTCGATGGGGTTTGAACCAGCTACCCAGAAATTGTATCTCAGTCTAGGTATGCATTAGTGTAATCGATTAGCCCGAGGCATATGTAGGAAAATGACCTACACGAGATGCTCTATGTGCAAGAATTACCTTATAGCAGTTATTAGCACTATCCAATGATGAAAGGCTTATGGGTTCGCCGAAGATGCGCAGCCGTTTGCAATTTGCATCTGCTATCTCCGCAGTGTGACATAAATTGCGGTTGGATTAATCAGGTGAAAATTTAAAATATTACGCGATTCAAGACAAAATATTGTTTAAAAGTACGAAGTATATGGTTTATATCTTTGTCGTTACATAACAATACGCACTTCTTGCCTACAGGTCATTTTCTAAATAAAATAAGTCTTCATGCAACTTTTGAGACAGTTGCTTTTATTCGTGGCGGGAACAATAACAGTTACTCTAAATTTACTAAGTTCCATATGGATGTTATATACGCAGCCACAATTTACTATTGACACTATCTTTTATTAACCTGTGGTGTAGGAATGAATGGTTCAATTATACTATGAATCGTATGTTAAGCTAAATAAGTCACAATGTTGATCGATGAACTTTCACTGAAATATTTCATTGAAGAACTTACTTTACCAAGTGTTTCTAGGTGAATTTTAAATGTACATACAAGTTTTCTCAGACTCGCTTAACAAGTAAACCTGATCTTTTATTTATTTTGGTTCTGTTAACTTTTGTACTTTTTAAAAAATGTTTGGTTCTTGGTAATACAAAACGTTCACACTGAGTCATCTGTTTGGCTTAATTATCTGGTACAAGATTGAGTTCGAAAAGAAATCATATGTTCGTCTTCCGTCGGATATGCGGTATTATTCCGTGCATTAAGCTCAATGTTTTCTTTCGTTCACAGCCTCTTTTCTATAGGTTTTACCGCTATAACAGCAACTATCGTTGATTTAGTAAAATATGTAAATAGAAATAAAGCTGTCTAAATATGCAAACTACAGACGAGAAAGCGAAAAAAGTTGGTCTCTTGTTTGAAAATAACTCGTAAAGGTTTGTTTGTGACGTATCACTTTCGGGCAAAACTTTCAGCCCGTGGTGTTTTCATCTATTAACGAACATGCTGATGATGTGTTTTCAAAAAACTTGGAGTGAATCAGATAAGATGAAAAAAAATGTAAAACATTGCCTTAAATACTGTATTTCCCTGAGTAAATTCGAGGTCTGCGTTCAACTAAAAAGCTAAGGGGCTATAGGTTTAATATTAATATCGGCTTCTTACTTGGTACTTACATTGAACCTTTAATAGCTGCTTTGTTTAATGTTTTTATACAGATTCAATATACTTGATGTTTATTGAGAAGGAGACAGAAAATGCTTGGCAAATTGTGAGAATTTTGTTACTGGTTCGGCCAGTCGAATCTTAGTTGATTTTCACATAGAATAGTTTTTTTTTTCAGCTGCAGTCGATGTTTAGCCGACGCAGCCGATTCCGAACAATAAGCAAAGGGTGCTGCCATTTTGATTTTGTCCTTCGCTTTCGTCCTGTGCGGTGTGCGGGTTCGTCGCTTAGGATAAAAGGTGTCCTCTGTTGAATTGTGCGTTATTCTTCATTGGATTGCAACTGACGCCTCTGTGGCGAGCATGACATCCAGGCTAGCTTTAATAGCGTCTCTGAAGACGTCCTGCAGTCGCGCGTTGAGCGCGCAGGCTGCTGCCCGGCCTCAGATACAGAACTCACAAAATAGGTAAGAAAATCAGAAAATCACCGAGCTATATGTTGATCGACCGACTACCACAATTCGTTTTCCCTTTTCATGTTTGTATAAAATTCTTATATATAATTATAAGCTGTTGTTTATCGAGAACGCGTTGCACAGTATTTGGCAAGGTATTCAATGAACTTCTGAAGTAACGTTTATATATCAGTATCATACCAAAAGTATAGAATGAAACTGTCACGTTTAATGTATATCAAGGTATTCACTAAAATAGTATCACACTATTTCACCAAACGATTACAACATTTTTCACTTTTTGTTGATCGACCTCTTTACTCTCCTGTGGGACCAAAGTAGACGGAATAAAGTTGTGTCTGCAATGAACAAACGTTTCCATTTTAAAAACGCAGCAGTAAAGAAAATCTAGACATTTAAACACCAAATCTTCTAGTAACCTTCAATTAAGACAATTACTCATAGAATGATTCAGTCGACATAACCCTATCTATGGCTTATTACAATGTACTATTGAGCAGTTAGTGCAAAAATGTACTCTAATCTGTGGAAATACTTGAAAACGTTGATGTTTTTCTTATCTACTAATGCGCGAGTTAATTTTAATTTGATATGCTTGTCGAAACATAAATTGCATTCAATTTATCAGCCGTAGACTGGGATCACACAGGAATAGCATGAGTAATGTGTGTGTGATTTATATTCATTAAAATAAATTAGATTCACGTATCTGCTAATTTATATGTATTTATTGTTAAGAGGTTCTACTATTAGGTACAATCAAATAAAGTTGTACTTGAACTGAATTATTTTACTAGGCAACATGCGGAGGAGCTGCGAACAACCATCCTCGAAAATGGGCTGACAATTCACTCGCGAGAAAATCATTCCCCAATTAGCAGAGTAGTTATCGTTACGAAAGCTGGAGCGCGGTACGAAAACGGCTCAAACCTGGGTGAGTTCAACCAGAAATAAATAATTGTACGGGTGTTCTTATTATAAATAGGTAAGCAGGAAACAGTAAAGACAAAAAACTTTTTGTAAAAAAGACAAATTTTCACGCTAGATTTTCAGTTATGCTGATCAAATTCATTGTAGTCACTACAGCGACTTCTAATCGTAGTAAATAGAGTTAGTTCAACAATAGAATTTCATTGATAGTGATTTCATTGATAATTCATCTATGATAGTGCCGTATACTCTATACCTTTGTTATAGCCAATGTATCTAAAACCATCACAAAACTTATGTCGATTTTATATGCTGTATTACTATACTATCTGTTACAGGTCTTACCCACGTTCTTCGTAGCGTTGCTGGACTCACCACAAAGAATTCGTCAACCTTTGCCATCACGAAGAATATCGAATGGGTCGGTGGCAACTTGTACGCCGCATCAACGCGCGATCACCTCATTTACACCCTTGAATGCAACCGTGACCACGTTGCCTTAGCTGTCGGGTGAGTTAGACTCGATTTAGAGAACGCTGTCAAACGATTGACAATAATAATACACAGAACAGAAGTTATAACCTAGGCTTCAGCAGAAATCTTTGTGGGCAGACCACTAACAGTAAGTCCACCCCTGTAAGTAAGACAACCCTCAAAACAGATTCGTCATTTTATTAGAAAAAAAAATAATATTACTTTTATAAGAAAAGTAATACTCTATTTTGACTAAATAAATAAATATATGTTTTTACTAAAATATTTTATTTTCTATAGGAAGCCCTACAGCAATTAGTGTGGACATTATTTTTTGTTATTCAACAGAGTTACGAATTATCCCGAACAAATGTATATGCTGTCTCACCGAATCAAAATAATGCTTGCAATAGTCGCTAGTTGTACTAAAACAGAAAAAGCTTTTCAGATTTATGAATGATATCGTTTTTGCGCCTGAGTTCCGTCCATGGGAGCTCGAGGATGCGATTCCACGTCTACGAGTCGAATTGGCACTTTACAAGAACAACCAGGCCGCCAGACTTATGGACGCCCTACACAAAGCTAGTTTCCGAGGAGGTCAGTATATTCGGTATTTAAAAACGGCGCTTTATAGGAGGGTGCATTCAAAGCAATTTTTTTGTCCAACTGCCTTCTTCACAAACGAAATTATTGCGTTCTAGTTATCAGTGAGGCAATACTTTTAGTAGACTCTCATGGCTTTCAAGAATTGTTACACGTAATATAAGTATTCTAGGATCAATAGGATATATTGCATCACATCTATCTCAAAATACGTTACGTATATTGCATGTGCGAGGAAATAAAGGAAACTATTTGCCTATGTTTCTTTATAACAGGTTTGGCCAACTCATTGTTCATTCGACCTGAGTTACTTGGCAAAATCAAACAGTCTCAACTGAAAGAATTCTCCAGCTCGCATATCACTGGACCGCGCACTGTGGTATCAGCTATGGGCGTCGATCATGAACGTTTGGTGCATGTTTACAAAAATCTCACGAAGATTCCAAGCAGCTCGGCAGATGATGGGTCCGCTTCCCGATTCAATGCCAGCGGAGGAGAGGTGAACGATACAACGAATCTTTTGTGAGACATGTTGTTGCTATTTTTATTTACGGTTGGCATCTAATATTCGTAAAATATAAGATACATGATATGTTTAAAATGAGGTTTGACTGACTTAGAGATTGATATTTATTGTCCATTAATCGTACGGATGGGATTTTACTTTAGTCTAGAAAAGCGTGCTCGCCCTACATACGAAAATTCGTTTTTTCCTTTGAGTTTTGCAACAACGCTTTTCTGAACATTCGTTATTTATTCTATTACTTTCACGTCAATCGAATTTGCCCTTTGACACAACTCATTTTATTTAAAATTCTAGTAAATAAATCATTGGGTTGTTCAGGTAAGTTATAAAGGAAATGGGCATTAATTTTGTGTGATGGGTAAAGTGAAATGGTGAAAACTGCAAACCGAGCCATATTTCCTGGGAGGATATAAATGATAGTGAACTATGTTATTGTGAAAAATTTAAAGCGTGGTAGCAACTATCTGATTATATTTTATGAGTATATAATCTCAATATATATACAGTATTACTGCTTATGATGTTTGTCGGAAAGGCGAGGGCTACGTGTTGAGTCTGTTCGAGAAATTATAAGATAAACTCGTCTAGGCGACCCGAAAGACGAATTACTATTGGGACTTTGGCTAAAAACAGATGCGGTCCAGGTACGTTACAGAAACAGAATCAACCTGTCGACTGAAGACTGAGCCGCAAGCCGGAGCGGAGATTAATTTGTTTGTTGAATGCTGTCCCTTATTCGTAGGTGCGTGTCGAGATGCCTAAGTGCCGGAACACGATGGTGGCCTTGGCAATAGAAGCGAGCGGTCTCGCCAATCAGAAGGAGGCTCTGGCATTTGAGGTGGTTAAGCACATTCTTGGTAAGGAGGTGTTTTTTTGTCAAGAAAAAAAACTTTTTTGTGCTTGGTTTCCGTTACATTTACAGCACAACTTAGAATATGTTTAGTCTGGTGTGTTTGTTTGAAGCAGAAATATCTTGTTTTTTAGAATGCCTTGACATAACTTTGTTAGATACAAGTTCTAATCTCAGTCCGCACGAACTCCAGAGAGCGAAGTATCCTATAACCGATAAAATTACTTTCCACGGCTCTACACAGCCGTCTATTTCTGTTAAGGGACAGATTTCTCGAACGTTGATTCTTTGTTTCTAATCCTAAAAATTCCTAAAAATTTTCCCAAACAGCTGTGGTAACTAAAAATTTCTCGAAGCTTACTATTGGGTTCACCTCATATTCACATAAAATATGAAAACAATTGTAAAAAAATTGATTTTTTGACGTCTGGAATAGTTTAAACCGAAGACTCAGAAAATGCGCTTGATGAATGCTGTGAATGCTTACGTGGAAACGAAGGAGACCAAAAAGCCGAACACTGTGTGTGTCAGTAAACCAAATTTCTTCGATATCAGTGAGACTAGCTTTTCTCATTTTTATTTGACATAACACCCAATTGTAAACCAACCTTGAACCTTGTTTGCATGTTTCAGGTATGTCAAAGGCTCGGGTGCCTTACTCAGAGCTGACGTGCACCAAACTGGGTCAGGCAGCGCTTGCTTCCAAGCCCGCGCATCCATTCTCCGTTGGCGCCTTTACTGCGGCTTATTCTAACACGGGATTATTTGGAGTCGCTGTGGCGGCTCACCCAAAAGAGATCGGCAGTGTAGTAAAAACGGCCGTAGCTACAGTCCGGTATATATATATATATATATATATATTTTAATTAAGAATTTGCTGCTTATGAGTGTTACATAATTGGACCGCAGTGTCCTAGTACATATATTATTGGGCCCGTATTATTGAAATATACCGTTTTCGATAACCATATGTTATATAATATATTACAGAAAAAGTAGCTACGATGCATATCAGTATTTCACCTGCTTAGTTTGTTTTTAAGCAAAATTTGTTGTTTTCAATGGGACAACAAAATCGCATTTAAAAGACATTGCTGCTTTTTTGCCTGAGCAATAATTGTGTTTCAAAATGTTTCGTTTACAACTAGGTTTACATATTTCTAGTTGTTAAGCATCAGATTGTTTCTAGTCGTCAGAAATATCGGTTTGTGCAATAATATCACATTTTGCGGTAAGAAATATCAAATCCTACGAGGTGAGGAAGTGCTATTGGGAAAATGAGCCGTTTTCTTTTACGTTGCAAACTGCTAGTATTGTTGATATCCTTTTTAAATGCTTACAGTTGCCTTTCTCAAGGCGTTTCGGACGCAGAACTTAGTGCTGCAAAACTGAAGGCGAAATACGCAATTGCCAAGCGTGAATCAAAGGCCACTAAAGTTGCCCGAAACATTGCCATTCAACAACTCACTCAGGGGGCTCCCCTTAGTTATGAGCATGCCGTACAGGTATGGTTCAAATTTACAAAACAAATTTTGTTCAGAAAATAGCGGTACCGAGTAGGTAGCCCTTTTATAAAACATCATTCGACTCTACATCTGTAATGAGCGCAACACTTATCCAAAGAATATCACAATTACCAGTTTAAAGATACATGAAGAGTAGAAACAGAGCCGCCAAAGTCTTGATAGAAGTGACAACTAAAGGTTGATATAGTAACATTTTAAATACACTCAATGACAGAATTATTTAGATGACCGATAAATATTCAAACAGAAATGAAATATCCTTTACTTTAGATAATTGTATATGCGTTATTTGCAACAAACGGATTACATGTCTGCTTATGCAGATTCACTGTATTGAATTGTATATTTCATATCGTTTGTCAGTGTTACTCTGATATGTTGAAACGACTTCGGATGCGATGAAGAACTGCCATTCGAACTAATTAATTTTCCTGCTGATTGTTGTGTTGCAATTCCGTTTATAGGTGATCGATTCAATTTCGGCCCAAGATATCAGCTCAATAGCCCAGAAAATGTCTCGCGTCAAGCCTTCGATTGCCGCGACCGGAATACTGTACGACACGCCTCATTTGGACGAACTGCTTCAATAGATGCCCTCAACATCGTTGAGAATAATAGAAATAACAATAGCTTAACTACTGCAGTCTTTACTGGCAATAACAACAACAATAAACATTTAAAAAGAGGCATCATATAGTCAGTTTTTTCGTATTGTTTTTATTAAAAACTTTGACTGCGTCGACATTGAATGCCGTAAAACTAAAGGTGATTCGGCAGTTGCCTGGCCTTTGTTAGAGGTTTCTCATAAATTATATCATCGGAACAGCCAAGTTACTAAATAAAATCAGAAACTCTTTATGCCTGAGTACAGCTGATTGGTATAAACGTTCGATATAAACATCTCAAAAAGTAGTTGAAAAAAAAAGCACATCTTAAATTTCGATTAATTTAATGTTGAGGTTGCGAAGCAGTGTTAAGGCTTGTACATGCCTGCTAATAGGCTGACGCATTACGGTCAGTGGTGCTAAGAGTTCTACTCTGACAAATAAAGAATGAAAGAAATGAATGGAAGTAAATAAACAATTTAGGTTGTTCGAATGACAAATGACACGAATAAATAGGGAGCAGAGGTAAAAAAAAGAACGCTTACTCATCGTGATTTTTGTTTTTAATCGGATGATGAAGATATAGAAAGGGAAGGTATGGATGAGCTGCACAAGGATACTTTTACACTTCATCCTAAATCGTTCATGTTTAAACAAAACTCAGACGAACCAGAAACAAAAGAAATAAACAATTTCGATCATCATTCTGGTGAGATTAATGGCTCACATCTGTACACAGGAAATGTCTGAGTACTGCGTATTATAATAAAAGGATAGACCAGAAAAATTTCGCAACGTGCTTTATAGAAAAACGTCAATATCTGACTGCCGCGGCGACAAAGTGGGTTAGACGTCAGATTTACAAACCAGAACACCCGAGTTGAACCTTAACATAAAATCCACAGGTATTTTCAATTATTTGAATTCTATAATTTCGGTCACTGTGTAGTATCGTTTGACAAGTGGGAATATCACTACAGACTCTACCTGTAATAGATTTCGAACTTATGCTTACGGCGACATATTGACTATTGCAAAATGACTGGCTCTGAGAAATTGCAGGTTGAAACGCATTGATCAGCAATTACTATTCGGCTGGTTTTACGAGTTATCTAAATTTTACTGTTTTATTTTTTTTAAGCTGTAATTTATTTGCACAAGCTTCCTTAATTGTAATTGCACGAAGGTAGTCAGCAGTTATCATAGAAACGGTATCAGACGAGATGGACAGGATAAGGGTTCAAAAATCTGAATATGAAACCCGATGCTTACTTCGTTTGTAGCATTTTCTAATACTTACTACATAAATTCATATTTAACTAGCTAATGCATTAATTCGACGCTTAGATTTTAGAATTGTTTTAGTGATGAAATACGGAATGTAGATCCAACATAAACCAAAGTATAAGATACCTAATTGTTTAGCCTGCATCCACGGTTCGCATCCGCTTTGAACGAACTATATCATGCACGGAACGAAAACACTAAAGTTGAAACTACTTTTTCGTAAAACTTGTTCATTAGTGTTAGTTAATAAGCCGTTTTCAGCCGCTTTTCTTCATAAGATTTTTCAGCAACGCGTCCATAAGAGCTCGATCTGCAAAGCAAATATCCAACGGATGATAAAGTCTCTAGATTAGAATTGTTCATAATTTACGTGTTAGATGCAATTTGAAACGGGCATTTCATTCAGCTAAATCTGTCTAGAAAAGGTAAAAATTCTGGTTCAAGCCATTCGAAATGAAAAAGGGCTCATGCTTCTCTTCTCAAATTTTTTCATCTCACACCTTTTTTTGTTCGCATTTAAGTCATAATAAAAACTGCTTATTTCTTTGTACGTGGTCTTTATTTAACTGAATAAATATTCTGAGCGCGTCCAGTTCTGCCGTTGAGCAATGCACCCCGTGCGAAACAGTTCCTACCGCCGATTTTGAACATACACCACTTCGCGTGCCGAAGTTCATTACGTAAACGCGTTACCAGTGCAGTGTCATAGGGACTATACATTACCCTTCGGGGCAGATACAAAACCAACACTTCATATATATCACACCATATCGAAGAGAAACTAAAAAGCAAAAAAGAAATTGTTGGCATAGCTATCCGCATTCGATTCTGCGCAGTAGTCTGAGACGATGCTTGATCGACGTCCGAGGATCAAGTCGACTTTTGCCACACCTTAAGTTACACTTGTTATATCTTGCCCCTTGATGAAACAAAATTAGAAAAAAACTTACGTGTGAATGAGTAAGAAACGATAAAAAATGTCATGTACTATTTTTTTGTACCTCATTAGGACAGTTTTAGGATGTGAGTGTATAAAACGCAGCGGAAGCAGCGCTACCGCCCGTCCCTTGCCTAACTGTATCGGCTTTGTAGTTTCTTGCTTCTTCCCTTACCCCCTGCGACTTCTTCTAATTTACAACTGAACCTGCTCACAGTATTTATTGTCCCTGTGATAACGCAGTGGGTAACGTATTTGTCTGTTGAATTTAGAGACGGGTGATAGTATAGGTTCGAATTCGTGCGGGAACACATTTTGTTTCGTAGTAAGAGGCAGCGGTCTGAAGTAATGTCTAATAGCTTAAGTACCGGGCGCACAAAATGTGCTTATATAGTTTGAGCTCGTTAACGGTTTCGTATCTTAGTTCGGTATTAAAACCGCAAAACATCCCATCCAACGGCTGGCATCTACTAGTACGGAACTGTGACGAATGTGTATTTCAATTTACCACAAGAAACCTCAATTTACGTTTAAATATGGCGCCACTTGAATCATTCACGGTCTGCTTCTCGACGCAAATAAACACATTAGCTGTACACCTCTCTCTTCCTCTCAGATGGTTTTCAATAATTAGGATTTGTCAGCCTTGTCCAGTTAAAGCAAATCATATAGGTTTAACTGCTGTTTAATGGTTTTCTAGGAAAATAAGGGAATCGCCACTCATTTGTTCTGATACGTTGACTCTGTGCTCTTGTGCCGTGTTTAAGTGATATACGATGACTATTACAACAGTTAACAAACTAATATATATTATGCAGTAATGTTTAAGTGCTCAAGCTTGTTGGCAAAATTTGGCAAATACTTGTGAATAGGTGAGTAATAACCTGTGAGTGCATGCGGCGTCATTTGACCATTTTTGTAAAACGGAGCGTTAATACTGGAATACATAGTTCATTCCTTACGAAGGTAGTTTCTCAGCTTGGCGTGTCAGTTTGCTTAATGGATGGCGTGTCCTTTAAACCGGTACAAAAAACAATAGTAGGAGGAAACGTATACTGAAATTGGTCTGGTCTGGAATGTTAGAATGGATAGAGAAAAATAATTCCACACCATCTTAGATCGAGCTTAATTTTTTGTGCTAAAAAATATGAATCATGCTAAAAAATTCAATGCATTTAGAATGGTTTCATCTAATGATAGTATGAAAGTGTAAATAATCATAACACTAGTCTAGTATCAAATGAAATGCCGTTGCACCGTCTAGCTGAAAGACATAGATTCTACGACGTAACCACAGGAGTCCATTGGTTTATGTGTATGTTTAATATATTATTAATGGCTATGCTTTCTCTGCCAAGAGCCTGTGAAAATCTGAGCCGCACGAAACCGAAAATGTTTGGTATTAAGTATCCTAATAGGGTCGTCGGACAGAATTACCATTGAGCCACCCTATAAACGACGTTTTATATTTTGCCTTTGCAATTACACAATTTAGAGGGTTGCTTCGAGTCTTCCAGACTGATCTTGAATCGCATATGCAGTACAAACTGCTGCGCGTAAGACGTACATGCAGTGTAATCTCGCCAAAATTTCACAGCTATGACTGACATTGTGAGTACGGATTATGCGAAACTTCCAAATGCGCAAATCAAAGCTGATCTAGGATGTTCCTTAAATACAGCATCCACTGTCCATGTGTGAAATGTGTATTATTTGATGCCATTTCGGTATTTAATGAATTTGCATATTGCATACTTCAATACATAGCTTTTAAGGACCGAGCATCATCGTTGTAGGACATTATTGCGGAAGACACAATGGTTTATAATCAACAGACATATAATATATTTTTTGATTGAAAACAATTTATCTTTGTCTCCGAAAAACGTTTCTCGAGGGACGTAAGTAATTAAAAAATATACGTATGGATGAGTATTAAGAAGCTCTAAATGTATTTCATATTATTTTACTATTATTTTCATCAATATGATTCTTCTTACTCTTGTTACACGTAAATACGACAGTTGAGGTGAAACAAATAGCCACCTGGAGATACTCTAAGTATTGGTCACTATAGTCCTCTGAAAGCTCTCGTGTATTATCGTATAATTCACGCTACATAGGCTGTTACTATTAATTTAGTTGAGACAAATTGAGGGACTGAATGGTGGCAACGTGGACATTTTCTTTTACGAAATGTTTCCCGACGTAATGCGGAGTGGTAATCTTGACTATTGTCGATGAAATTAGTTTTGACTAAAGCTCAAATATTATTTATTTTCTTGAATAAAGAAGTCTGTTTCATAGTATTACTTTTCAAACGAGTTTGCTTTGCAGTGAGAATGTAAAGCAATCAGTGAAACGAACAACTACAGGGTAGTGTCTTAGACGAATCGGTAACATAGAAACTCGTCTTTCGGAATGAGATTACACCACTGTAGTGTCATTTAGATCTAAGAGGCCGTTGCCATGTAGAGCTTTTTGTTTATTAATTTCGGCAAGCACGTGACTAGCATGGATAGACATCTTGCTGACCTAGAAGTGAAATATACTGTTCTTTGATAAAATCCTATGTAAATGTTTGGTATTGTCTACATATTTTTCATTGCTTGGTCTATCCAGTTTGTTACGAGCCCGTATAACCTGGTTTGTAACTAATGACTACATTTGCTAATGCTACTTACCCCTTAGTTGCTACTAAATGAATTTTTTTGGGAACTTGAAAAACAAAAAATTCTGATTTAGAGAGAGAGAGAAAAAAACAGAAAATAGCTGGAATTAATATTCGATGCCCTTAACAAGACTCAGACAACCTAAAACGTCCCTCTCAATGCTATTTTATAACGAAAAAGTTTAGTGTTTATTTTGCGGACTGTATCTTGTCAATGGCTTTCCCGGTTTGGGAAATTGTAAAAAAGTTTCAAAAGTAAACGTTCTGAAGTAAACTATAGTTTTCAGATTTATCGTAATCGTTCTGTTCTTATTCTCTAGTTTTCTAGGTGGAATGACCAATGCGCTTCGGAATAATTATAAATAGTAATAGCTCTGGAAAAAAGATTATTGTGAGAGCTTCAAACCGTATTTTATGCTGCTAAAACACGTTAAAACGACTTCCACCATGGAAATGTCATAGTAAAACAGAACGAATGATAGACAGAAGAATCGTGAGAATTTGCGTATTTGTTCTCGCTGCACTGATATGGCCAAGGACAGAATATTCAATAGGAATAGTTGACAAAATAATAGGGCAGAAACAATAGCTTTTATTTGTCTTTAAAGTTGTCGCTACGCGTATCAAGCCGAGGGTTTTGTTTTTCCGCCCCCGTTTTTCTGTTGATTCATTCAACTAATTAGATCCGTTGGCGACTTCACACCCAGCTTAATGTAAGCCTGTATAGCTTGCGTTATTCTGTTGCGACACATTCGCAACAAAGGGCATCCTAATTTCACTCTATGTTCTCACGATACAGTATGCAATCCACGTATATGTTACTAAATTAACAGATATGAAATAAACACTTCCCAAATGTTAAATAATTTCTTTGAACTGTCTGGACATCTCTGCCCCATTCCGTAGTTCTTACATCTACATCATCCGCGATTCTCGTAAAATTCTAGAGAAGCAATTACGTTATCCCGTTGTAACAGCAATTATATTTCCCTGGTTTATTGGATATGGTACCTTGCTTCAGTCACCCCTACACAAATATTCTATTACCTTATTCGAGTGGTTGCTTACGTCCAACAAAAGCTGAATCTCTTCTACAATTACCTTGTGCCAGTGATCCCGTTGTTTTATTGAAATATTTCAGCCACCTCTTTATTCCTTTTACCCCAATTGCCCCGACTTCTCATTGTCATCAAGCCGTCACAATGCAATATGTATCTTACTAGAATAAATAAGTAACCTTGACATAAAACTATTCATAGTGAACCTAACCACATTTTATCATAAATTAGGTTCAAGCCGTGCATGTTGCATTAATTTGAAAGTTTATCTAACCTTAAATATCCATCCCGTTACTGTTATCCCCGCTCTCCCGGCTAATCCTGATGTCCTGTTGCATTTATTACCATTTGTCATTCCTGACAGAATTCAGTAGTTTCCAACCATTGCGGCGAAAATCATAACTGAAACGATGAATCCGTAATGCTAGAAAGTGCTAATTTCTTCCCAATATAAAATTTCGAGCCAATTATGGGGTGCTTCGACTGTGTTGAAATCAGAAAGATCTGTGGCATACTTGCATTGAACCCGGTGAGAGTTACTTGGAAGCGGAAAACTGAGACTCAAACAACAGAGGTGCGCTTTATGGGTACATCACCGAATTATAGCTAACTTTTCGACGCAGTTGCTCCGCCTTCCGGTTAAAATGTTTTTCTAGTAATGATTTCGGTACGTTATAAAATTTTTTCAACTTTTTCTATTCAAATTAATCCGCATCCACATATCTCATTTATTTCTGACAACTTAAGCAAAGGTTACCACAACTACTTCTAAACGCAGGAATGTGAAAAATTGAAAATTCTATCCTATACAGTGTAATGTTGTCAGCAAA